TTTCCCACCGAAATGGGTTTAACTATGTTTTATAACGAAAATAAGGGTTCACCACAACATAGGGGTCGAACCAAGAAGAATTGTGGTTTACCGGTTTATCCAGGGAAAATGTAGATTTGAACAGCCAAAAACGGGAACCAAACCCTAGACTTTGGAATCACAGCGGTAGAAGTCTGGGTATGGGGCCAACTCAGGATGAATGGACTTTGGATTCGACCGCATTTAGGACTCCTTTCTCCAGAAACTGGAGGTTGTTAGTGCAGGGTCAGAATATTATGCGTTTATTCCCAGCAGCAGGAAGCTTTTGGGTATCAATCTCTAGAAGCAGGGGGTGGTGTCGTGTTCCTCCCTCTTTTAGCATGTATGCGTGCGGTTCCGGCAACCTTGGAACCTGGTCTCCCAGTGTCTCCCACTTGTCTCTCAGCTTGTCTCCCACTGTGCCTCCCACTATGTCACCTACTATGTCATGATTTCTCGGTCTGTCTATTTATCTATCTAGCTATAGCTATAGCTATCTATCTTTTGTATATGTCATCAATGTGTATGGCGACCCATTGGTTAAAAAAAGGATGAACCAACTCTGAACGGGAAATTTTGCATCTGGATTTAATTCAGCAAGGGCGCATGGTTAACCTCCACAGGAGGCGGTGGCTTGTTAAGGCCATGCTGCGCCCATAGGTCCAGGGATTCAGCTGGGCGCTTGTCAATCCCGGGCTCGACAGGGGCCGGTTGGACCGGGCGCTGCCTCGGGGCAGGCCGCTTTGGGGCTGGTTGAACAGGGCGCTTCTTAGGAGCAATTTGTTTTGGAGCCATCTGTCTTGAAAAACTGCGAAATATATGTGTTGAAACATCTCCATCACAAGCCCGACGCAACATGGAAGAAAGACTGTAGGTCACTGGAACTTGAAACATCTTAAAGCAGAATCATGCCGGTCTGCACGCAAGCGTCCAGCAAAGTTGGCCAAAGCTGCGCTTTCATCACCTGCATGGCGCTTGCGGGAAAGCTTGCGGGAAACATTTAAACAACCGAATGCAACAATTTCATACGCCCATGTGCTTACGTCCCACCTCACGCTTGAATGCTGATCACGCACATGGCTCAAACCATGAACCCATGTCGCTTTTTAATTACACAGAAAGCAAAATCAAATGACTATAGCTGTGCATTTTTCTGAAAACCAGTAAGCCAACTAAAATGGCATACATGCAATGGAACCTTTCATGGCAATGAATCGCCAAAATTGTTTTCGGCAGAGCCATTTCTGAGCCACAGGCCACAATAAAATTTGCGCGCTTTCCTCCAGCTGGAAAACCTTTTCACATATTTCAGGGCAATATTGCTCATGATTCATGCATGTTTCCTGGCCATGTATATTAAATTGTATGACATGCAAGGCCGAAGCCCCATTTAAATCTAAAATCATGGCAAATCTCTGAATTCCGTTCAAATAGTTTCCGCCAAAAAAGCGATGTTTTGTTGGAATTCCCCGAACAAAAACTTCTGCATGTCATCCCTTTTCGATACTTAAAAAAATGAGGTTTGGATTAGCGCACATCGTAGGCTTTCGTGAAACCTCTGAATTTTCACTTAAATTGTCGATCATCTGATTTCGTGTTCGCAAGAGACACCCTTAACCTTCATATGAGGGAAATTTGGAAGGGCCTAAGATTGCTGGGCGTTTCTTGCATCCGAGAAACGCCCTTAACCTTCATATGAGGGAAGGTGGGGAGGGCCAAAGATTGCTGGGCGTTTCTTGGACTGGAGAAACACTGTTGGGCGTTTCTTGCATGGGAGAAACACCCTGGGCGTAAAAGATACACCCCAACCCCAGATTGGTACCTCCAGGTAGAAGCCTGGCAGAGGGAGCCCCAAGCCCACCAGAGGCAAAGAAGAGGAGGACAGAGCCAATCAGTGTTGGGCGTGATGACGGAGGCAGCAAGAAGAAGTCCGGCAAACCTGACAAGTCCAGGCCGGGCATGGAATCCGCCATCAGACTTGCAAGGGCCTCCAACGACCTCAAGCGGGCCAAGGAGGTGTTCACAAAGAAGTTCTTGGCGCGCGGAACCTTGCTTGCGAAGAACGCGAAACGGAAAAAGATCAGAGAGCTCCTACTGGCTGTAGGGGGAGAAGACTACTTCCCCGTGAACCAAGAGATGACCTTGGGAGTAGCTACAGCATTGGACGAGGCACAGTTGCAGTCGGGCGACCAGTATATCCATGAGTTGAAGCTCATGCACATAGGGGCCGGATATGAGCGGGTGTCCCCGTTGGGGGAGACAGTTGTTCCTGTGCAAGAAAGCCTTGAAGAGACATCGAGGCCCCGAGGTGAGGGCCAAGGAGCTGCAGGTGGCCGGCATCGAATCTGCCCTATGGTCAGGAAGATGTTCAGCGAGGGGCTGCTACATCAGGCCAGCGTGGATGTATGCCATGGTGGTGCTGTGGATGCTTAGGGCTTGCGAGGTCACGGAGTTGAAGATGGGCGATGTGCACGTGGACTACAATGAGAAGACAGTGTCCTTGTGCATAAAGAAACCCAAGACCGACCAAGCAGCAAAAGGAACTAGGAGAACATTGACCTGCTGCGGGAGGCAAAGTTGCACTAGGGAATGCCCCTTCGCATTGACGGTCATGGTCTTGGCTAACAGACCCAATGGGAAGGTGTCCGACTACCTCTTTGCCACGCAGGGCAGGGTGAAGACAGGGCACACACCGCCAGATGTTGGGCGAAGACGCTGGACAAAGATCTCACAGGGCATTCAGCCAGGCGTTCGGGGGCGATGTACTACACGAGACGTGGCATGGATGTGCAGGACATCTCGTTCTTGGGACGTTGGAGAAGCTCTGCAGTCTTTAGGTATATGGAAGAGGCGATGCAGGAAAGACCCATGAACGCCAAGCTGAAGGAGGTGACTGAAAGCGAGGCAAAGCTGTCCGTGGTGAACCATATGCAGTCATTGGAAAGGTGGACAGCGACTCTGGCCGGGGAAGGGGCTGGAGCCCCATTGACACCGGCTTCAAGGACGCCCGCTGCCTGAAGACCCGGAAGACATGGAACTGTGGGCAACTTCATGGGTGAGAGGCCGCAAGAGGGTGACACATCTGGTCATGAAAGCGTCGTGGCAGACAGACCTCAACGAATGGGCGACGGCGGCGGCTGGCATTTTGCCCAAAGAGCCGTGAAAGTGGCGTTGTCGAAAACACACCCCAGCAGCGCTCACAAGTGCATCAAGTGCGACAAAGTCAAGGAACTGCGCGACAAAGTCCCAGGAGGTGCAGGTTTGGCGCAGCTGTTGTCCAGTGATTTGGATACAGTGCTGCAAATAAATCCAAACCAGTTGGAACGCAGTTGGAACAGACGGGATCAAAGGATCCAATTTGCAATGCACAAAAAGCGCCAGCAGGTGGTGACTCTGGGGTGGAGGTGGGCTTCAATTCATGAAAGGCAGCCAAACGGATTGCTTCGCACTTAATCTTTCCACTTTGTCTCCCAATGTACCTCCTAGCTTGTCTCCCACTCTGTCCCCCACTTTGTGTCCCAACTTGTCTCCCACTTTGTCTCGCACTTTGTCTCTCACTTTGTTTCCCACTTTGTCTCCAACTTTGTCCCTCGCTTCGTCCCCGACTTTGTCTCCCAACTTGTCTGCACCTTGTCTCCCCTCACTTCGTCTCCCACTTTGTCGCCCAGCTTGTGTCCCACTTTGTCTCGCTCTTGTTTCCCACTTTGTCCCCCCGCTTTGTCCCCCACCTTGTATGTCACTTTGTGTCCCAGCTTTTCGCCTGCTTTGTCTTCTGGTAAACTTTGTTTCCCACCCTGTCTCCCACTGTGTCCCACTTTGTCTCCCACTTGTTACCCACTTTATCCCCCGCTTTGTCTCCCACTTTGTTTCCCGGCTTTGTCCCTCACTTTGCACCCCATGTGTTTCCAACTCCCTTTTCGCATTTGTCTCCCAGCGTATCTCCCAATGTCCTTGCTTTCCACTGTGTCTCCCAGACTTTGTCTCCCACTCTGTGGCCTAGCTTGTTTCCCACTTTGTCCCTTACTTTGTCTCAAATTGTGTCTCCCACTGCGTCGCCCACTTTGTCATTTTGTTTCCACGCTGAAAGTCAAAACGTGGCCCAAACATGGACGCTACTCACTCAGGACCTTTTCACCTTGAATTTGGAATCTTCGTTGGTGTTGGGTTGCAAAGCTGGGTTAATGATAATCTATGTGTAGAGGTCAGTATACTAGTGTGATTCAGAGTATCGCAGTGCAAATTGATTACTATGCGGCCGTTCTATGGGTCGGGTATATAAGCTTAACTGGAGGTTATAACCATGGTTATACCCAATTATACCTTTGCACCCCCAAATATTCCCCAAAATTGCAATTTCGTAGCGAACATTGTTATTACCCAGTGGATTTAGGGGTTCCTTATTTTCCAAAAAACCCACACAAATGAATCATAGTCAATTCTGGTCTAGCGCCATGTCCTGCCAACTCTGCCTGGTGCTGAATATTCTAGGTCGAAGGGCGACCTTGTCAGCTGTGGCTACTGCAACCCTCAAGGACTCATTGTGATTCAGTTTGAAGCGATGCGTCTTTTGATCTTTGCCTTTTCTATCCCTTTCTTCAATGGTTTGGTTGGAATTTTGGCAGGAATCCATGATCAAAATAGGAGGGTTTTCATGGGTTAACCATAACTTTCCATGAATTAAACTATTTAAACCGTGGTTTTCCCATCAATTTTCTGCTTTCGAAGACCTTCACGACGAAACACCGGAGGAGTCGTCCGCCGACGTCGCCGAGCGACGGAGGCTTCAGGAGCTGGTCTCCAAGTGGCGGGCCGATGATGCTGAAGCCTGGGCCAGTCTAGTGCCTCAGCTCTTTGCGACGCTGGGAAGATCTGGGAAGATCTGGATGGATTTTTTTCCTGATTTAGTCTGATTTCATTTGATTTAATCTGATTATGAATGGTTGTGTAGCTTGCAACTGGAGATTTTGCGGAGCTCGATCGCTTGTCGAGGCGCTCACAGCGACGTTGTATGTGGGCTCTTTGGCCGTGCTTCACTTGAGCGGAGGACATTGGGCCGCGATCATACTGCTTGCCTTTGCTCTAGTGCGAGCCTTTATCGTTTTTCATGATGCCGCTCACTCATCTTTCTTTGAGAAGCCAGAGCACAACAAGACGCTTGGCCAAGTGTTGCAGTTCTTTATCAACTACAGCCTGGACGAGTGGAATACGGTGCATAATTCTCACCACGCACACTTTGGCCCCTTGATTGAAAAGACTGAAGCATGGCAACGTGTTTTTGAAGATGGATACTGTGGATGCATAACACCAAATGATGTAAGTCTTTTTGTGCCCAGGGTGAATATGAGGTCATGCGTTGTTAGGGCTCAATGGAGGTAAAGGCAGAAAACTTGCCCTTGAACCCTTCTAAGCTCAAAAGAAGAGCGTTGTCTGGAGCACGTTTCTCTTCTCAACTGTGCTGTTCCCTATGAAAGTCCCAGTTATTTTCACCTCAGGTCCGCAACTTCGCATTTCTGTATCAACAATTTTTCTATGGCTAGACCTAGGTGATGTCACCGTGAAGGACAGCTCGCTCACCATTTGGTTTTCCGAGAAAGAACTGGAGAATGCACCATGGTACCTGTGGCTGGCACATCGAATTATTCGCGATCCGTGGCTCGGTTTCCACGACAGTCGGTTGCTGTCGCAGTAGCGAGTTTTGAGATGACTTGGGGAGGGGTCAAAACCAATCATCACGTGACTGGGGGGATGAACATCCATTTATCGTCATTTATTCATTTATCAACTGTTGGGAACAGAAGGGTACCAGGGGACACCCAAGTTGTGAGTCCAGTGGGATTGCTCAACTGGCTCGACTGTCAGGATCTTTTTTTATCCATTAGCTGGGCTCTTTGTGTGGGGTGCTCAGAGACAAGGTATAGGCGTAGCATCTTAGACTTTTTGCGCTTGTGGAGATATTGAATACAGCTGTCAGAAGGTTCCAAAGCGAGGTTCTGCAGCGTGATCAGCCAAGGTTCTTCCTCAACAAGCCCGCCCAGCACTTCCCATACCGAACCCTTGTTCCTTTCCTTGCTTCTAAACCGCAGCATCATCATCAAAGCGATATTTTGTGAGGTTGTATTTGGTTTATGCAAAATGTGTTTCTTCTTGTTGCACATTTTGTTCAACATCTTCCGGACTGCGAACTTAAGCATTTTTGTCCTTCTTTTTGTCACTTCCAAGATGTTGTTGGCATCCAAGGTTTGGTACTTTCTTGGTATGCAGACCCTTTGCGCATACTTCTTAGCAGCCTGGCTAGGTGGATCCTTAGGCTGGGTGCACTCTGCACAAGTTTTGTGCTGCGTGTGGTGTGATGCAGAGACACCATCCGAATTCAGAGGTGTCGCCTGCTTTCACTTGCAACACCATTGCAATTCACCGTACCGACACCTGGACTGCAAGTTGGACTGCACTGGGCTTGGGCCGCTTGGGTTTCAGAACCTGGAGCTGGTTTCAAGACCTTCGACGCGGTGCCGCATGTTCTGCTGGGTGCTATCAGTCACAGGGATGCTCTCGGCTCTGCCAACCATTGAGGTGTCCCAGATGATTCCAGCAGGACGCATTTGGATGCGGCCATTGTCGGAAGCACAAGGCACGTAGTTTCCGCACGTGGCACTCAGCATTCTTAACCACAGTGCCAAGGATGTTTCGACTTGCAGAAGACCGAGTAAGATACCTTGAGAGACTTCAGGTAGATGCAGATAGGCCATATAGGCCAAATAGGTTCTGTTGGAACATCGCTTCTCATGATGCCAAAGACACACCTGACAGCAGGATTCCACTCGCTTGGCCACTGTCTGCTGCTTGTCTGATACTGTGGTGCTGAAAAGGCCCATTTTTGTTTTTCCTTGGACCTCAAGCGGCAAGGTAGGGATTTTCGCTAAGGTATCCAATATCTGGTGACATCTGTGAATGATCAATATCACCTTGAATTGCAGCTCCCAGGCTGACTTTCCAAAGCTCCATCGCTGCATTGCGAGGTGTTTTCCTTTGGGATCGAGTACCACCACATTCACCACTTCGACATTCGTGTTCCAGGCTATCGCTTGGAAAGATGTGATGCTGAGGGGGAGGCGGCGAAGGGACTGAGGGACCATGGAGATGGGTTTAAGAGATCCAGGTGGCGTCATTGTACATGAGCTTGGCGAGAAACACAAACTATACTTTTTATTACTTTTTCAAGCCAGATTGCCTCGGATTGCTGTGATTTCTGTGTCTGTCTTGTTTCTTGGTCTTCTTTGCTTTGCAGTTGGCTTGCTGTTCAGCTCTGGCTTGATGAGGCTGCAGGACTTTGGACACGAGTGAACACTGTTGATTGGGTACGGGCAATCAAGAGCCTTTGCCATAGTCAGTTTGATGGGTCCAGTCCCTCGTTTGCAAGATGCACTAGAACAAATGTAGCGGCAGGGATGGAGTTTATTTTCAACTGATTTTGAAGCTTGCAGCTGACTCTCTTTTCTCTCTCTCTGAGATGTTTCCCTTAGACATGAAAGTCGTTTTGGGCAGCCAGATTGCCTCTAAAGTAGAGTTTGACTGATGACTAACCAACATCCTTTCCTCAACTCATTTGCCAATTTGGCAGCCTGGGAGAGAACCTCCATGATTGTTTCAGCCACAGATCAATCCTTCGGGAAGTCGCCGAGGCAAAGCGTCAGATGCTGGGGGAACTCCGCGATTCAGCTCCTTTTGGCCGTACTCTGCGCTGGGCTTGCAGGACTGATCTTTCCATGTTCAACACAGACAGCTTTGATACCACCCTAGAGAGCTTGTTCGAAGAGATTTTTATTGCTGTTGCTTTGGCAAGGATGACTGAGAGCAGATCCCGTCAGTCGCTGAACTCATTTCACACGGCATTTTTTTTTTCAGCGGCAGTATCCTTGAGAATGCTTCCGTTGGCGACATCGCCCCCAATTCTGAGGTCAAGGATGAACTTGGATGAAGCCATTCCAGGGGCCTTGACGAAGCTGTGGGGTCAAAAAGCAGCGGTCTCTGCGGTGCGATTGAATGCTTTAGATGGCTGTGGATGACCGCTGGGATGACTGCTGTTGCAGGCCATTCAAGTAGTGGAATGGATTCCGGCAGACTTGCCGCCTGGCTGCGTCAAGACTTGTGAATAGAATTGCGAAGGATCGGGGCAGCATGGACTAGTTAGAAGTTAGAACTAAGGAGTGGTGGAGCAGACGCATGGCTGCTAGCCACGGTGCTGGCCTCAGTTGTTTGGCATTCTTCCATCGCTTCAGGGTCTGAGGCATCCTTTGGCTAACTTGTGACCTAGCTGTTGAAGATCCAAGGTGAGTGGGGATGGAAAGGTCCTGTTGTGGGATGCCAGAGACAATGATCTCTCGCAGCCTTCCAGAGGCTGACATTCTTGAACCGTGGCATGGGACAATTCCCATTTTTCCCCAAACAGTGTGTCCACACTGAGGGGTTCTTACGGTAAGTGTAAAGGCCGGTGCTTGATCAGGGTGCTCACTCTGGGCTGCGGCATTTTACCTGTAAATTTCTGTATAAAGTGGCTCTTGTGAAATCTTGACATGCGTTCCGACTGCGCAGGCTTGCACAAAGTCTGCGGCGTGGTTTTGGTCTGCGGAATTTTACCTGTGAAATCTTGATATGCGTTTCGACTGCGCAGGCTCGCACAAAGTCTGCGGCGCGAGTTTGGTCTGCGGCATTTTATCGGTGAATTTCCGTGTAAAATAGCTCTTGTGAAATCTTGTCGCGCACTTCGACTGTCTTGTGAAATCTTGACATGCGTTTCGACTGCCCCCAAACAGTGTGTCCACACTGAGGGGTTCTTATGGTAAGTTCCCCAAACAGTACGTCCACACTGAGGGGTTCTTACGGTAAGTGTAAAGGCCGGTGCTTGATCAGGGTGCTCCATCTGGACCCCAACATTTTTCCTGGAAATTTTCGCATAAAGTGGTTCTTGTGAAATCTCCAAGTGCATTTCGATTGCGCAGGCTCGCACAAAGTTTGCGGCGCGAGTTTTGCTAGCTCTTGGTCTGCGGCCTTTTACTTGTAAGTTTCGGTGTAAAGTGGCTTTTGTGAAATGTTGAAATGCAATTCGATTGCGCAGGCTCGCGCGAAACGTGCCGCGTGGGTTGGGGCCCCGGCGCCCCGGCATTTTGCCTTTAAATTCTCGCACAAAGTGGCACTTGTGAAATGTCCAAGTGCATTTCGACTGCGCAGGCTCGCGCAAAGTGTGTGTCTGCGTTCTGGCCTCACACTGGGCCCCAGCATTTTCCTTGTAAATTCTCACACAAATTGGCTCTGAAATGTCCAAGTGCGTTTCGACTGCGTAAGCTCGCACAAAGTGTGTGTCCGCGTTCTGGCCTCACTCTGTCACTCTGGGCCCCAGATTTTTTCCTGTACATGTCCGTATAAAGTGGCTGTTGTGAAATGTCCAAGTGAATTTCGACTGCGCAGGCTGCGCAAAGTGTGTGTCTGCGTTCTGGGCTCACTCTGGGCTCGGACATTTGTCCTGTAAATTTTCGTGTAAAGTGGCTCTTGTGAAATGTCCAAGTGCATTTCGACTGCGCAGGCTCGCACAAAGTGTGGGTCCCGGTCTTGGGATCGGCCCTCCTCGGCAACATCATCATTCTCAACCTCAACATCTTCCTCCTCCTTGACCTCATCATCCTCAACATCATCAACCTCCACCTCATCTTTCGCAACATCAACATTATCATCCTTTTCATCATCTTCCTCAACATAATCATCCTCAACATCATTATCATCACCTTCTCAACATCATCCTCCACCTTATCATCCTCCACTTCATCTTCCGAATGATCATCCGCATCCCCATCCTCCTCAACATCATCATCCTCATCCTCCTCCTCCTCCTCATCATCATCATCATCATCCACATTCTCATACATTATCCCCCACTCCCCCGCACTGTTTGGGGTCTCTTGCCGGTATAATTTTACCGGAAAATCGCTTGCAGATGGACTATATATAGTCTATAGATGAACTATATGGACTCTAGATGGATGCAACTGGGGAGATTGTTCATTGCCAGGTTCGATTTCCAAAGGGTCTTTATATTTTGCATCATTTCGCAACAGCTCGCACCTTCGCAACAGGTTTCATGCTGCAGGGTTCCAAGAAGAGAATCCTTGGTGGAAGGATCCATCCTCAGCCCGGGTGTCTGAAAATACGCTATACCTCCAACATGCGGTGGCCTATCATATCATGATTTGCTAGCAATTCCCTATATATGGCAATTTGGGGGTAACCTCCGCCATTTTTGGGACCCACAGGCAAATGGACAGTGGGAAGGTCCTGCCAAACTCTGCAAAGGTCTCTGAGTTTCTCTCCTGTGGATCCATGGCTCTTTGTGGTTGGCACTGAGACTGGCACCTCGGAACATGTTGTTTCGCTTGGAGGGGCTGCAGGGGCTGCAGGGGCTGCAGGGGCTGATGATGGTTCTCTTTGTTTTTTTTTGTCCCTCTGTACAGAGTGTTGCTAAAGTCGTGCCCAGATTAGGAGTCTCATGTTGTTGAGCCATCAGGTGGGGAGTGGCCTTTCCTAGGCAAAAAAAGACGTCGCTTGGACGTCGTTCGGGCGTCCTTCTGACGTCGTTTTTTTCTACTATATTATATCCCTTATCTCACACTTCACTTTCAGATTCACTATTCATTTTACAGTACAACAAACCATTATCAAAATCGATCCATCAGCGGCTTGTTTTGCCGCCCATGCAACTCAAAACCCAACATTTCCTATAGGTTTACTATCTTTGAAACTTCCGCCACCGCCTTGTGCGGTACTACTGGTATCAGTCAATCAAAATGAAGCAAAGATTTCCGCTGCATTTAGATGGTGATTTGGGTTGCAGGCATGACATAGGCATGACTTCCTTGAAACTGCATTTAGATGGGTGAAAACAAATTTTCAGCACACAGGCGTGACTTAGGCATGAGTTTCGCGCTTTCCTGTATCTCTCTGTTTTGTGAAAGTTGCCACTGGTATCTGTTGAGGCAATGTCATCCGCGCTTTTCGGCCGCCGCCTGGGGCTTCAATGGGGAGACCCACAGGCAAGTCTGCTGCAAAATCGATCGAATCTGTTTTTGGACACGTTTTTTTCAGTTCAAATTGGTTGTGAATCAGCAGGTTCCATCCAAAAAGTGTTTTTGGGACACAAATACTTGTTGTATTTGACTGGAAATATCTGGAGATTTATGGATATTTAAGAATCACAGCTCAGAAGACAGCAGCTGGAGGCAGCTATGCTTGGAAGGATGATGCGGTGTTGTTGCTGGACCAGCTTTCGGCCAACGCAAGGCCAATCCCCAAGTTGTGAAAGCTGGTCCTCTCCATTTTATCCCACTTATATATGAGATACTGTAATATGGATAACCGACAAAATTAGCGGAAGGCTAAAGTAGTGGGGAGTGGACTTGGAATTTTCAAATTTGTGTGCAAACATTCACAACCGATTACCCATACCCTATTTTTACACATAACATGGAAGTACAAACCTTCACGATCGATAGGGGACCACCCACTTTGGCCATGTCCATTGCGGGTAGTAAGTAATTTTGTCCGCCACTTATATGTCTATTAAAGCAGTTTCTACGAACATATGGTTTGCGAATCGATGATATTAACATATCTTTACATATTTGCATTATTTGCACTTCAGATTGATTTTCAGTGTGCAAGTTCAGAGGAATTTTGGCCTCGATAAGGGAGGGACCACCTGACATATCATGCACTCCTGAATGAGTATGCGAGTTTAGGCGGTTGCCTTTTGTATGTTGGGTGCTCGTCAGATCACTTTGCGTTTGTCCATAAGCCACGACATGTCATGTCCCAATCGAGTTGCATTATTGACCAGGCTACAGCTTCAACATCACGTGAAAGTCTCAGTGAACGCTTGGGAATGCATTGCTTGTTTGTTTTTGGAAAGCCGGTTCCTTGCTATAGATACTTACACACTTGTGCAGATTGACAATTGCAACATGTTTGTACAAACTTATTCGGCGTTTGGCTCAAGTGATCAAACGAGTGTGTCTTGTGACTTTCAGGCTGTCTGTGGGGCAGTCAAGGTGAAAGGCCTTGAATATGGGCAAGTCCATTCGCTCCAAGATCAAGAAGCGGCTGCGAACCGTCAAGAGGCAGCGAGTTGATGCCATGATTGTGACGCCTCGTGAAAAGGAAAAGCACGAAAAACTGGTGCAAACAGCACAGGGGCGGAGCGTGACTCGGCTAACGCCGAAGAATGCATTCAAATACCCAGAAAGTGAAGATGCCGTGTTTCCACAGCATGAGATCATGAAGCCTGTGGATTTCAGGGCACAGAATTTGCCGATGGCTGGCACGGTTTTCCGGGGAAACCGAAGAAAGTACTCAGATGAAGAGAAGGCCATGTTGAGCAAAATCATCAAAGAAAACCATCCCAAGATGGAAGTCTTAGCTGGAGGTGGTGCCATCCTGGCCAAGACGGGTGAGAAAGTCTCTGTGGAGGAGGCTGAGTTGATTGCCACCAAGGTGAATCGACCCGAAACGGTCATTGAGCCGCCACGTTCTAAGGATGCTGAGGCAGAGATGGAGGACGTTTCCCCAGTTGCGGAAGCCGAGGCCATCGAACCCGAAGATGCTGCAGATGTGTCGCGCCGCCCCGTGGTGAAGGACACCCGGCGTGCCAAGCGCACGGCCGAACGGAGACCACGGCCCAACTCGGTGAAAAAGGCCAGAAATCCCCAGGCGACAAAACCCAAAGGTGCCAAGGCCTAGCGCAGAGGCAGACTAGGCATACCGACCTTGTCCTGTTTACCAATGACATCCAATGACTTTGTAGTTGTGACATGTTGTGACCACAGTTTCAACCTTGTACATTCGAAGAGTGGAAGCTTGTTCGTAAGTCTTCTACGCAGTGGCCAACACCGCAATATGCGTGTTGCGTGGCTGTCGTGTAGCTGGAGTCTTCCAATGGCCACTTGGGGCATGACGAAGACAAGGCAAAATTTGAAAAGTCGAAAAGATTGCCGCCGAAGTGCCTGAACAACCTTCTGCAACATAACTTGGAGATACTTGGAGAAAATATCATAAATATCATGGTTTCATGATGTTTCATGATGTTTCATGGTCATAACTTGGGGATCCCAGTAGCCATGTTTCAGTTCCAATTGACATCGAAATCCGCTCCGTAGCAGGTGGAAGGATATTGCCGGACAGCTGGTCTCAAGGAAGTCAGTGCTGAGGCGGTGTACCACTTTGTGGTGGATATCGATCTGTGATTTTTACGAAGCATTTTTGCAGGGTCATGAAACATGTTCCCCGCAACCCCCTGGTTCGCCCACACTCAAACAACACATCCAAACAATATGATATACTTATCACCAGAGGATCAACGAAAACACTGGCTATACACAGTGATTTTGACTTTAAGTTTTCATGATTTAGGGTTTTAACTTAGGGTTTAGGGTTTTAGGGTTTACAGTGTTTGTTGTTTTGGAAAGTAAAAAACTTAAACCCTGCGAAGGGATTTGAGCATGTCAAAGGATATGCGGGATTGGCCGCGGGCAAACCTAGGGGTTGCAGCGAACATGTTGTTTTCCGGAATTCTCTTTGGTTTCATGAACTAGCTGACATTAGCTATCAAAGACAAGAGCTTCAGCTTCAATATTCTCCAATATGGGGGTTTCCATAAATGGGAGGTACACCAATAGCTGGATGTTTTAGAATGGAAAATCCCACCCAGAAACATGGGTGATAACTGGGGGGTACCCCCCACGACTTGGGAAATTGCCAGGTGATCTTCCAGTCCAAGCCAGATCCTCTTGTCCTTTTTCCAGCACCCAAGACGTGATCCAGACCTGCTTGCTGGCAACATATGTATGTCACCACTAGGATCCCAATATATTATGGCTACACACACACATACTGTATATGATAATACAGTTATTATATATATATTATATACGTATATATATATTATATAATTTTCTATCCCATTGATCCAATATATTTTAACGTTTTATATTTCTGAAGGCGCCATGAAACAGACGAGCCAGGACAGACTTGGAGCCTCATGCTGGTCCCGTCACTGTGGCAGCGTCCAGCTGGCTTGGTTGCCGTGAGAAACTGCAAAATCATATGGGAAATCATGCGTAGAGACTGAGAAGAGTCTTTTGATGCACAGATCTTTGACCCTTGGTGTTAAATCGAATGAGTAGCCAAAGTCGAAGAATTGGAATAACAAGGTGTTGACGTGAACTTATTTCAATCACTTGGATCTCCATTGATTGTTGAAAACGATGGAAGGCCCCCGAAACATCGCAGGCCAAGTCAAACATTGGGCCCTGATGAACAGAGTTGGCAGCAACATGCATACGAATGTCTTCTGGTATCATTTCCCCAGGCCCTATCTCCAGACAGTAGTATTTCGCGGAACCCTTACGACTCAGAGCAGAGGATTAAGTCCGAAACCTCTGTGGGACTGTAACTGTAAACTCTTGGTGGTCTCATTTTGAGTTCAGTGGAGGGTCTTGTATAGCTCCCAGCCCACGCCGCAGGGATGAAGACGATTTTTTAGAAATACACATTTTTTTTTTTGCATTTTGTCTCAAAGCACCCTGTTTCCTCGTGTGGTGATCATGATCTTGGCATATCTTGGCATCATTTGACCGAGTCAATCATCTGCCTCAGCCAGGTTTTCGCCATTCCATCGGAAGCTCATGTTGACCGGCTCCGTTGACGGTGGGGCTTGGAATGACATGCCATTGCAGTGACGACATTCGAAGAGTTTCTCAGAGATGCGAAAAAATATCCCCCATCCCAGCAGACGTCACCCGAGTCAAAGGAAACTTGAAGTTACGATGGATGAAGTCCACACTATTTTATCTTTGCCGTATGGATTGACAAAGATACCCTGTTTGCTTACACTATGTGACCTGGCTCCTAGAAAAGCGCCAGGCTCTGTCAAGCTCTTTGACGTTCTTCAGCAGCGGGCCATCCAGACGTTTTTTCCACCTTCGAAGTCTGGGCCTTCACCGAGGATTTGCAAGCACAGCATAGAATAAGAGATGTCAAGTGACTACCCTCTGGTAAACTAACATATATAACTATGGAAAAACACCATTTTTAATGGGTAAATCCACTAAAAATGGTGATTTTCCATAGTTATGTTAGTTTACCAGAGGGTACACCAAAAATCAAGGTGTCTTTCGACGTGCGCGGTTTCCGCAGCTGCGTGGTCCTCCGCAAGGCCCCTGTGATGCTGTGTGAGAAATCAAGGCGAGAGTTGTGGAGTGGTCTGCCACTGAATGGATGGAAATTGCTGGTGGAGGCCTTGCGTCTTTGCGGTTGCCATGGAGATGGGAGGCAAACTGCAATCATCCAATGTCAAAAAATCCAACCTGGATGACTGGAACATTCCATGAACTGCCATCCTTGTTTGACATTGATAGAACCATCCTAAAAAAGAAGAGTTTAAAAGTAATTTGCCACTATTTCAGTGGGATTTCATTTTAGTCGCTTTTTGAGGGTTGCTATAGCTGCTGTGACTCATTCTGCAATTCCACTGTGGGAGTTCGGGACCGTGGCACCCGCGGTGACCAGGCGTCTACATCTACGATCTCCTGCAGATTCTTGGCGGGCATCGTCTCTTGTTGATTCTGTAGGGACCTTTCAAAGAGAGAAAGTATAACAGGGTCACAATGGTAGTAACTGGTAGTATGGATCAACACTAGATACTCTGCTATTTTTCTTTGGGGGTATAAATGACATATTTTAGCCCTGCCAAGAGCCTTTCCAAGAGCTGAACTTCCGAGACGTTCGCTGAGGAGCCGACAGGAGCCGGTGCTTGAGCTGCCGCTGACCGGCGCTGGGTCGCAGAGGGCAACGAGCTTGGCCTTCAACCCCAAGCAGCGTGGCCTCCTGGGGGTTGGTACCTGCCTCAGTTACTTCGAAACATGGCACAAGGGTAGCCGGATATCGATGGGATAAACATAGGGGTTATGGAGTTATGGATTCAACGAATCAGAAGTCTTGAAATGGTGGTGCTTTGTGATTTTCCATTGCCAGGTTTATTGATCAGAAGTGAAGGTAGGATAGGGACTACAGAACTTTCTTCAGCCATTTTGTTTTGTTTGGCATTATCCATTTCTGGATCGAGCTCGGTGTGCTTGGTTCTGCTGCTTGGTTGCTGATGTTTGCTGTCTTCCTGACTGCGAATTCGGCCTCTTTTCTGTCTTGATTCCCATCAGTTCTTTCCCAATCTTTTGGCCAACTTTTGGCTCACCAATGAGGCCCCGGCCTTGAGTGTTCTCTGTTCAATCTTGTGGTAATGCAGCTGCCCAGTCTGGAACACACGGTGGAAGACTTCTACAAGCTTCAGTACAAAGGACAGTTCGTGTGTGCAAAGAAGTTCATAAAGCGGACACTCCAGATGATTCGCTCAGAAGACAAACCGCAGAGTACAATGCTGATGTGATGCTAAGGTGACGATAGTGGCCGAGTTCGAGTCTTCAGATTGCCATTCCGACTTTCTGAACAACAGAAGATGGAGGCACGAACTCAGGGCACTTTGAAGCGTTGATCGAAAAGCGAGCCGCGTATGGATTGATCTGTCGCATTGATGTGGAAAAGTGTTGGCACCAGAGCTGAGACAAGCGTCCATGAGCACACAAACACTTGCCCTCCAAATCTGAGTGACAAAAGACTTGAGACGGGATGTGTTGCTGGTTTCTGAAGTTCATGAAAGTTCATGGCACTTTACTTTCTGTCGTTGCTTTCTGTGGTTTCTTATGTTTCTTTCTTTGGCTTTTGTGTCATGTTTTCTTGAGTGGCACACATCCAAGTAAAGCATGGGATTGTTGAAGTGGTTGGCTTGAGGCTTGTAAGGCAGCTAAGGCAGCTAGGATTGATCTGTCGCATTGATGAGGAAAAGTGTTGGCACCAGAGCTGAGACAAGCGTCCATGAGCACACAAACACTTGCCCTCCAAATCTGAGTGACAAAAGACTTGAGACGGGATGTGTTGCTGGTTTCTGAAGTTCATGAAAGTTCATGGCACTTTACTTTCTGTCGTTGCTTTCTGTGGTTTCTTATGTTTCTTTCTTTGGCTTTTGTGTCATGTTTTCTTGAGTGGCACACATCCAAGTGCTTGAGGCTTGTAAGGCAGCTAAGGCAGCTAGGATTGATCTGTCGTATTGATGAGGAAAAGTGTTGGCACCAGAGCTGAGACAAGCGTCCATGAGCACACAAACACTTGCCCTCCAAATCTGAGTGACAAAAGACTTGAGACGTGCTTGTATGTGTGGCTGGTTTCTGAAGTTCATGGCACTTTACTTTCTGTCGTTGCTTTCTGTGGTCTCTTTCTGTGGCTTTTGTGTCATGTTTTCTTGAGTGGCGCGTATCCAAGTGCTTGAGGCTTGTAAGGCAGCTAAGGCAGCTAGGATTGATCTGTCGCATTGATGAGGAAAAGTGTTGGCACCAGAGCTGAGACAAGCGTCCATGAGCACACAAACACTTGCCCTCCAAATCTGAGTGACAAAAGACTTGAGACGGGATGTGTTGCTGGTTTCTGAAGTTCATGGAAGTTCATGGCACTTTACTTTCTGTCGTTGCTTTCTGTGGTTTCTTATGTTTCTTTCTTTGGCTTTTGTGTCATGTTTTCTTGAGTGGCACACATCCAAGTAAAGCATGGGATTGTTGAAGTGGTTGGCTAGCGGCTAGAGGCTTGTAAGGCAGCTAAGGCAGCTAGGATTGATCTGTCGCATCGATGAGGAAAAGTGTTGGCACCAGAGCTGAGACAAGCGTCCATGAGCACACAAACACTTGCCCTCCAAATCTGAGTGACAAAAGACTTGAGACGGGATGTGTTGCTGGTTTCTGAAGTTCATGAAAGTTCATGGCACTTTACTTTCTGTCGTTGCTTTCTGTGGTTTCTTATGTTTCTTTCTTGGCTTTTGTGTCATGTTTTCTTGAGTGGCACACATCCAAGTAAAGCATGGGATTGTTGAAGTGGTTGGCTTGAGGCTTGTAAGGCAGCTAAGGCAGCTAGGATTGATCTGTCGCATTGATGAGGAAAAGTGTTGGCACCAGAGCTGAGACAAGCGTCCATGAGCACACAAACACTTGCCCTCCAAATCTGAGTGACAAAAGACTTGAGACGGGATGTGTTGCTGGTTTCTGAAGTTCATGGAAGTTCATTGCACTTTACTTTCTGTCGTTGCTTTCTGTGGTTTCTTATGTTTCTTTCTTTGGCTTTTGTGTCATGTTTTCTTGAGTGGCACACATCCAAGTAAAGCATGGGATTGTTGAAGTGGTTGGCTAGAGGCTTGTAAGGCAGCTAAGGCAGCTAGGATTGATCTGTCGCATTGATGAGGAAAAGTGTTGGCACCAGAGCTGAGACAAGCGTCCATGAGCACACAAACACTTGCCCTCCAAATCTGAGTGACAAAAGACTTGAGACGGGATGTGTTGCTGGTTTCTGAAGTTCATGAAAGTTCATGGCACTTTACTTTCTGTCGTTGCTTTCTGTGGTTTCTTATGTTTCTTTCTTGGCTTTTGTGTTATGTTTTCTTGAGTGGCACACATCCAAGTAAAGCATGGGATTGTTGAAGTGGTTGGCTTGAGGCTTGTAAGGCAGCTAAGGCAGCTAGGATTGATCTGTCGCATTGATGAGGAAAAGTGTTGGCACCAGAGCTGAGACAAGCGTCCATGAGCACACAAACACTTGCCCTCCAAATCTGAGTGACAAAAGACTTGAGACGGGATGTGTTGCTGGTTTCTGAAGTTCATGAAAGTTCATGGCACTTTACTTTCTGTCGTTGCTTTCTGTGGTTTCTTATGTTTCTTTCTTTGGCTTTTGTGTCATGTTTTCTTGAGTGGCACACATCCAAGTAAAGCATGGGATTGTTGAAGTGGTTGGCTTGAGGCTTGTAAGGCAGCTAAGGCAGCTAGGATTGATCTGTCGCATTGATGAGGAAAAGTGTTGGCACCAGAGCTGAGACAAGCGTCCATGAGCACACAAACACTTGCCCTCCAAATCTGAGTGACAAAAGACTTGAGACGGGATGTGTTGCTGGTTTCTGAAGTTCATGGAAGTTCATGGCACTTTACTTTCTGTCGTTGCTTTCTGTGGTTTCTGATGTTTCTTTCTTTGGCTTTTGTGTCATGTTTTCTTGAGTGGCACACATCCAAGTAAAGCATGGGATTGTTGAAGTGGTTGGCTTGAGGCTTGTAAGGCAGCTAGGGCAGCTACTAACCTGCCCATACCTCGTAGGTAAAATCCTCTTTAGCCCCATCAGTTGATGAACTCATATTTTTTATGTTGTGAAACGTTGGTACATAATTTCCAATAGTGAACATTAAATTATGCCAATTCATGTTCTGTGAAATCCCACTTTTCGTTGGTGAAACATCATCGCATTTTGGTTCCACAGGTGGCTTTCATCGCTCAGCTCTTGGGTGATCGATCGGGGCGCGATGGCAAAGGTGCAAGGGAACCTCTAAGGGCCATGATTTTTTTGGCAAACATGTGAGAAAATCATGGGGTAAATGGCGGTAGAAATTCATGTTTAGCACGATCAAAGAGTTGTACTGGCGAATTTTGTGTGACACTTTGGAATTTTGGGTGATAATGTTCTGGGTATTTTGGGCATCACCTCTTTGGCGATGATTTATGGGCATACCGAAGCCAGGTCCTTTCTTGTGTTGATCATTTGGTGTGACAGGTGACAAGGACAAGTCTGGGACTTGACGGACTGCGGTGTGAGTGGCCGCTCCCTTTCTGCATACTGCAGTTTGGGAGCTCTTATTTGATGGAAATGTGTGTTTTTGTGGATGGACATCTCAGAATAACCTTGACAACCAACAGCACCGAAAAGATGGAAAACTCGAGCTGGTGCAAAACTGACTGCTTCAGCTCTCATAGGGGGCTCCAGCGCGGGAGTGTTGCGACATCTGCGCACTACCAAAGAGCGTTCCTTGTGAGAGTATCCTCTTTGACTAGACATTTCTGTAATATTCTGGGATGGGCTAAGGCATTTTTCCAACACGGAAATGTTGGCCTTGCACTCCCATAAATTGAGAAAACCAACAGCCTTCAAGGGCAATTCCAGCTGTGCAGTTGGTTTGAATTTGCGCGAGTGAAGTGAACAAGAGTGTTTGCATAGGAAGATATAGGAAGAACACAGCACGTAGCTAATTGTCTTTGCGTTCCTGATTATATAGGGTCACTGCGTTTTGCAGTCTTTCCCAGAGAGATCTTTTGTTTCCGATAATTTGCACCAGTGTTGTTTGGAACATTTTGTGCTCTGGAAATCCTCATGTGGCATTAAGATGCATTAAGTTCTGCTCGGTCTTGGAAGCACATTCTATACGTCTTGATCCGTGGAAATTGGGGGCTCAGTTTCCGGAAAAAACGGGACCCGTGGATGGCGGAGTCAAAGCTCCGTTCTCGAAGATATGAGAGGCTGGTTCAACTGATTCCAAGGTGAATACGTCTGGGGAACACTTGGGTACGGATCAAGTTTCTTGAGACTAAGGGGACCAAGTTTGCCAAGAGACCAAGATTGCGGTCCATTTTTGGCCCGACTCTTTGTTCGCTTGATGTTGATCCTGCATCTACCATTGCGGATCAAACATTGAATGTCACCGTCCAAAGATGTCCTTCAATGATCTATTTTCAGCAACAATTGGCCTTGAGGCAAGGTGGGTTTGTCTAAAAACCGGATATCCCTACAGTCCCTACATCTGCATCTCCTGCTGGTTCATCATCATGTTTTTGCCTGTCAAGATGGCCGCTGGGATATACCATAGCCATCCATAGCCCCCTCTGGGAGACGCTCCCGTTGTTCTTCAAATTGAGAGGCAGTATGTTTTGGAGGCGATTTCTGTAGCGATCCAAGCACGGCTACGCTTGTGTCATGTCCTGAGTCCTGGGAGAGCTACTGCCTTTGGACGTGGCCTGTGGTTGAACATGGGAACAACTCCCTAAATTCATGACAATCGGATGGGTGAGACGATCATGTTCCAATCAAAAAATGGGGTATGGCTCATTTTTGGACAAACCAAAATCACATTGTTGTTTGTATACCCCATTGTATCTCCACTATCACTATGGTTGGTATTTAACCGTCACAAATTATAAAACTCATTGTACTTCCCAACTTTAGGCTGGATTTCATCCCAACATACATACCATTGTATATCCCATTACATATCCCATTACATATTATTACATACCTCATTATATCCAATTATCCCATTGTATATGAATTAGTGTTTGCATTGCTGGCAGACCGAGGTTTCTTGTCATGGCTTGCATGGCAACAGGATGAAGACAGCCGCTGTAGAAAGCTTGCGGCAGAGTCGCTGGGTAAGGCCACGACATGAGAATTTGCGTTGAGATGCTGAGAATCACTGGAGTCATTCTGGGGATTTTGCTATGTAATATCACCTTTAGGTTCATCATATGGGTATGGATCCATACCTATTAATACCATTTTTAGTGGAATGAACATCCATTTACCAGCTATTTTGATGTTCACCAGAGGTACAAGGTTTTGACACACTGCCATATAGTGGTAAATCCCTAATCATATCGTGCTGTTTTTGATAGGAATACAAGGAGCGAATGAGGACTGGCCCTGGCCGCGCTGGCAGGTACAGATCGTCCTGGCAGCGGAACCAATGGGCCATCTTGCAGCAATTTGGCCTACCTGCCCCATTGCAGCACGCACATACACACAGACACATAGTGCTGCAGCTACGAGTCCTTAGTGTTTGCCAAGAAACAAGTGCTACAAGTAGAAAACAGGGGTTGACCTTGAGACCATTCAAAAGCTTAGCTCAGATGATGCGAAAGTACCCATGCGAACTAAGTGCTGTGTGCAATCTTCCTGTAGAAGGACTTAGGAAAGCCTTGATGCTATGGAAATGCTGCTGATTTGCACTGCACGTCAGGTGATCTTTCAGACTTTGCAAGCAACATCCATGGGCACATTGGCGAAGTTGCGGTTGAGCCCGTCACTGCAAACGCCAGAAACACGCAGCAGGGCCAGCAAGGGGCCGAAGACAAATCCATGGGGCACAAGGATGTCTACAGAGTGGAGCGAAAAGATGGATGGTCTGGAGTGTCTGACAGATCTGACAGTCTTACTGAGATTCTGAAGCGCGGAGAACTTCGACACAGCAGGCTACTGAAGATGGCAGGAAGTGGATATACTGTGGATGAGACAAGCAAGCGATCAAGAGAGGCGTCGGAGCAGTGCCTGCGACAATCCATCCAGCAGCTGAAAGCAAATCAGCAGAGAGAGTCGAATCGAAGGAGCCAGGTTTCAAAGGCAGCGGTGGGTCCGAGGTAGGAACATCTCGGGAGCCATGCTGGAAATGCTCCAAACCATGCATTCAGCTTTGAACATTTTGGGGTTAAATCAGTCAAATCCTTTGGAGCTGGTAAAGCCTATAGCGCAAAGCATGGTGGGTGCCGCCAAAGCAGATAATTAGCTTCAAAGGCCAGCAAGTGACATACCAAGCCTTTTGAAGAGTGAGCAGATGCCCTTGCCAAAGGTAAGACTGTGTGTGATATTGTGACCTTGTACCTTATGCCGATGCTTTTGGTGCTCTAGCTTATACTTTTTCAAACCTACGTTGTGTGGAAGTGTGAGTGCCGATGACAAGAACAGATCCACCTACATTCCCACTTGATTTTGCAGTGCTTGTGCAGGACAGGTTGGGAGGTGACCTCACTCACAGTGTTGCGGCTGCAAACTTATGCATGCGATGTGACATGACGGCTGCTTCAGAAAAAAATATCCTCTGGTAATCTGACATAGCTATGGAAAATGGTCATATTTATACAATAGGTAAATCATCTACAAATGGGTCATGGCTTCCATGGCTACATACGATTTACCAGACCTTTTTGAGGTGGCAAGTCATCGCGCACTTCGCTCCATTTCGGAAAACGACATCATGCTGCACTTCGGTATGTGATGCAGCGGTGGCGAGTAGTGCTTCAGAATTTGTAAACATATCTCCCACAGTCCAAAAAATACGTTTAAGGGAAAATGAATAGTTGTTGAACATAAAACAATATTTGGTTGGTAAACCTTTGGTTCCCATGTAGATGATTTCCCTAAATCAAGATGGGTGCAGGCAGAGGGTCTCAATGTAAAGATCACGAAAGAATCGGAAAAAAACATGTCCTCTGCTGGCCCTACAAACTGAGTTCGAAAACGGTGTAATTTGGATCCATACCTGGATTCATCACCAATGTTCGGGGAGCATCCATCCCCAGCTGGATGAAGGCCAAAGCGTTGCTCTGAGCTTGCCAAGGTATTGTCAGAAGCTCGAGATTTGTTGGCATTGCACCTTGTAATGCATGCCTGGAAGAGCCTAACGCAGATGCCCAGCGGAATCATTCCCCGGCATGTTGAAGTTCTGGTGTCTTGGCCATTTCGATCGGCATTTGGTTGGTCTTGTTTTTTTGATGTTCTATCGGATGATGATCCCAACTGACTACAAAAATGACCAAAACCCCAAAAAATGTTGTTCAGTATAATTTGAGCATATTTTAGAACATACTATACAATGTATACAAGATATCCTAACTAGACTGGTGGCTCAACCACCAACCAGCAATGCTAGGGCCCTACAGCCGTGGGCAGGCATCACGTGCTTGCAGCCTCGCTCGGCAGTGGCAGCTTGCTCTGGAGGCCCATGTTGATGACATGACATGGCTTTGTCCCAAAATGAGGATGTATACAGCTTATACAAACCAGAATGGGCACATAGTGGGCACATAATGGGCACAGAATGGGAATATGAGATTTAACCAACACTATCTCGTTTGCGACGGGGGAGCGGGCTGGGCATGGCTCAAACTCTTTTTACCCGCGACGTCGACAAGGTCGGCTGAAGGAACAGTCCGCTTCAATGGAACGAGGCCAGTGATGAAAAACTTGAGGAGTTCTTGGAGGATGGTCATCAATCATCAATCCCTTCACAGGGATTCATACACCCATTATGTTTGGATTCCCATTTACTATATGGGATGGATGTATGGTTACACCCATTATATCCCATTATGTTTTGACCATAGCATATATATATATATATATGCATATATGGATATGGGTCAAAAAGTCATAACTGTCACCTTCCCTTTTTCGCACGATTGATTCCAGATCATCCTAAAAATGACAAAAGCCTTCCGCCGCTCCAGTACTCTAAGTTTGACCCATACCCATACATGATCGCATATCATGAAATGAACACAAAAAAAACATGTAGAGAAATTGTCTCCAGCCCATGTGACCCATGTGCGTGCAACCTGATAGGTTTGCAACATGCGATTTCAAGATGTTCTTGGCCTTGGACACTGGCAGTCACTGGCATGGGTGGAGACCTCTGGATATTCGCACAGCAGCAATGAATCACTGATTTTTTTTTAGGTCTTTTGACAAGTCGTTCACTACAATAGACACTCCCATTTTGTCAATTTACTTTGGCAAGTAAACTACCGCAGGTGCAGCAGCATAGGCACCAAATGGCACCAAATGGCACCAAATGGCACCAAATGGCACCAAGCCATTCGCCTTTCTGAGATGGGATACCATGAGCGCCATCGCAAGCGACACGGTGGGCGTTGTGACTACAGGATGCCAGAAATGGCTAGAGCAGAAGCAAAGCATTCACCTGACATGCACCGAACTCAATGGGCCAAAGTTGCCCGAGCACAACAAGCCTCAATAGATGTGAGAGCAAGAAAAACTGCCGTTGCTGCAACTTGATCTGCATCATGCTCTACACTTGTCATGTGGTGCTGCCAGAATACACAGGAGTTGCATGTTGTGTGCTGCAGCTGAGACAGGCACAAAAAGGACACAGCGAGCCCATGTGAGCCAATGCTTACGAGCATATTTGAATGAAAGCAAGGTCTTGGACGTTGTCTTTTATTTCCGGTTCCATCAACAAAGCACGTAAAGCCCAAGAAAGCTGGTTTAAATAGGCCATGTTGGACTAATTAGCTTAATTTCAACACACAACGGACACAGAACGTGATTGTCGTCCTGAAGCTCGAGCGTTTCGCGCCTTCCCAGGTCGGAGTTTTCTGACATTCAAGCGGACATGAGCAAAAGCGTTGTCTCTGACTTGCCAACCTTGTGCCAGGTTTAATATTTGCTTCAAGGTTGGACGAGCTCTCAAAAGACAAGACACGTGTATACATGAGTCATTCATTTGTCTCTTGCTGTGATCTAAATGGTGCTTGGACAGCAGGGCAACAGGGCAAACTGTTTTGTACTGGCGCAAGAGCGTAAATTGTGCAAATCTCTTCCAGGATGCCCATTCAAACCGCAGCCATGTGCCCGAAGTAACATATGTGAGAAAAGTGCTTAAGGAGCTTAACATGGATTCACAGTCTTCATGGAGAAAACAACTTATAGTCTATAGTCCTTATAGTATTCGTACTGTTTTTTAAACCATGAATGGGCTATTCAAGACATGGCAAGACACTGTATTTGCAAAGCTATTTCCAAGATTGCTTTCACAGATTCGACGTAGCTCGTAGCTCCAGAGCGGCTTCATTTGTGCAGCTGCTCCCAAAGAGGCGTTTTTCAGAGGAGGAAGAGTCTCTGCTTTGCGACAGCTAAGATTTTCCGCGCTGTTCACCCTCAACTTATATATATATACATACATATGTATATATATACACACATATATATACATATACATATATATATATACATATATATATATACACATTGTTAAAATGTTTTGGAACGGCGGTCCAAAGTTTTGCAACTTATATGAAGGTCTCACCTGTGACTGGTATCACAAACCCCTTGCTTTTGCCCGTTTGACCAAGGAGAAATGTTCCTCCGATTTATGCGACTCTTCATTCACATCGCTTGTTTCAAAATTACCACCGGACAAGATCTTGCTTTTGAGAAAGCATTTGCTGCAGTATCCAACACCGCAATTACTCCAGGTCCAAGAAAGACAGGACATGAACCCCGATCCCTGGCAGAAGGTACTAGCAACCTGACAGAGACTACCAGTGCGACCAGCACATCTTTGACAACATATACCACCACAGGCACCACAACCAGCATCACCAATGCCAATACTACGACCATCAGCACAGTCACCACCACAAGTTCAAGCACAACTAGTACGAGTAGCACGACATTCAGAAACACCAGTGCAACCAGCACATCTTTGACAACATATACAACCACTGGCACCACAACCAGCATCACCAATGCCAATACTACGACCATCAGCACAGTCACCACCACAAGTTCAAGCACAACTAGTACCAGTAGCACGACATTCAGAAACACCAGTGCAACCAGCACATCTTTGACAACATATACAACCACTGGCACCACAATCAGCATCACCAATGCCAATACTACGACCATGAGCACAGTCACCACCACAAGTTCAAGCACAACCAGTACCAGTACTGCCTACGTGAGCAGTAGCATGACAGGCACCAACACCAGTGCAACCAGCACATCCTTGACAACATATACCACCACTGGCACCATAACCAGCATCACCAATGCCAATACTACGACCATCAGCACAGTCACTACCACAAGTTCAAGCACAACCACGACCAGTAGCACGACATTCAGAAACACCAGTGCAACCAGCACATCTTTGACAACATATACAACCACTGGCACCACAACCAGCATCACCAATGCCAATACTACGACCATCAGCACGGTCACTACCACAAGTTCAAGCACAACCACGACCAGTAGCACGACATTCAGAAACACCAGTGCAACCAGCACATCTTTGACAACATATACCACCACAGGCACCACAGACAGCATCACCAATGCCAATACTACGACCATCAGCACAGTCACCACCACAAGTTCAAGCACAACTAGTACCAGTAGCACGACATTCAGAAACACCAGTGCAACCAGCACATCTTTGACAACATATACCACCACTGGCACCACGATCATCATCACCAATGCCAATACTACGACCATGAGCACAGTCACCACTACAAGTTCAAGCACAACCAGTACAAGTAGCACAACAGCCACCAACACCAGTGCAACCAGCACATCCTTGACAACATATACTACCACTGGCACGAACACCAGCATCACCAATACTACCACTATCAGCACAGTCACCACTACAAGTTTAAGCACAACCAGTACTAGTACTGCGTACGTGAGCAGTAGCATGACAGGCACCAACACCAGTGCAACCAGCACATCGTTGACAACATATACCACCACTGGCACTGCCAGCAGCATCACCAATACTACAACCAGCAGCACAGTCACCACCACAACTTCAAGCACAACCAGTACAAGTAGCACAACAGCCACCAACACCAGTGCAACCAGCACATCCTTGACAACATATACTACCACTGGCACGAACACCAGCATCACCAATACTACCACTATCAGCACAGTCACCACTACAAGTTTAAGCACAACCAGTACTAGTACTGCGTACGTGAGCAGTAGCATGACAGGCACCAACACCAGTGCAACCAGCACATCGTTGACAACATATACCACCACTGGCACTGCCAGCAGCATCACCAATACTACAACCAGCAGCACAGTCACCACCACAACTTCAAGCACAACCAGTACAAGTAGCACAACAGCCACCAACACCAGTGCAACCAGCACATCCTTGACAACATATACTACCACTGGCACGAACACCAGCATCACCAATACTACCACTATCAGCACAGTCACCACTACAAGTTTAAGCACAACCAGTACTAGTACTGCGTACGTGAGCAGTAGCACGACAGGTACCAACACCAGTGCAACCAGCACATCATTGACAACATTTACCACCACTGGCACCACCACCAGCATCACCAATACTACGACCATCACAATCACCACTCAAAGTTCAAGCACAACCACTACCACCACTGTGTACGTGAGCAGTAGCATGACAGCCACCAACACCAGTGCAACCAGCACATCCTTGACAACATATACTACCACTGGCACCACCAGCATCACCAATACTACGACCATCAGCACAGTCACCACCACAAGTTCAAGCACAACTAGTACCAGTACTGGGTACGTGACCAGTAGCATGACAGGCACCAACACCAGTGCAACCAGCACATCGTTGACAACATATACCACCACTGGCACTGCCAGCAGCATCACCAATACTACGACCATCAGCACTGTCACCACCACAAGTCCAAGCACAACCAGTACCAGTACTGTGTACGTGAGCAGTAGCATGACAGGCACCAACACCAGTGCAACCAGCACCTCCTTGACAACATATACCACCACGGGCACCCACACCAGCATCACCAATACTACGACCATCAGCACTGTCACAACCACAAGTTCAAGCACAACCAGTACCAGTACTGAGTACGTAAGCAGCAGCATGACAGGCACCAACACCAGTGCAACCAGCACCTCCTTGACAACATATACCACCACGGGCACCCACACCAGCATCACCAATACTACGACTATCAGCACAGTCACCACCACAAGTCCAAGCACAACTAGTACCAGTACTGCGTACGTGAGCAGTAGCAATACAGGCACCAACACCAGTGCAACCAGCACATCGTTGACAACCTATACCACCACTGGCACTGCCACCAGCATCACCAATACTACGACCATCAGCACTCTCACTACCACAAGTTCAAGCACAACCAGTACCAGTACTGAGTACGTCAGCAGCAGCATGACAGGCACCAACACCAGCGGTACCAGCACATCTTTGACAACATATACCACCACGGGCACCCACACCAGCATCACCAATACTACGACCATCAGCACAGTCACCACCACAAGTTCACGCACAACCAGTACCAGTACTGCGTACGTGAGCAGTAGCATGACAGGCACCAACACCAGTGCAACCAGCACATCGTTGACAACATATACCACCACTGGCACCCACACCAGCATCACCAATACTACGACTATCAGCACAGTCACCACCACAAGTTCAAGCACAACTAGTACCAGTACTGCGTACGTGAGCAGTAGCAATACAGGCACCAACACCAGTGCAACCAGCACATCGTTGACAACCTATACCACCACTGGCACCACCAGCATCACCAATACTACGACCATCAGCACTGTCACTACCACAAGTTCAAGCACAACCAGTACCAGTACTGAGTACGTGAGCAGCAGCATGACAGGCACCAACACCAGCGGTACCAGCACATCTTTGACAACATATACCACCACGGGCACCCACACCAGCATCACCAATACTACGACCATCAGCACAGTCACCACCACAAGTTCACGCACAACCAGTACCAGTACTGCGTACGTGAGCAGTAGCATGACAGGCACCAACACAAGTGCAACTAGCACATCGTTGACAACCTATACCATCACTAGCACTGCCACCAGCATCACCAATACTACGACCATCAGCACTGTCACTACCACAAGTTCAAGCACAACCAGTACCAGTACTGAGTACGTGAGCAGCAGCATGACAGGCACCAACACAAGTGCAACCAGCACATCGTTGACAACCTATACCACCACTGGCAGTGCCACCAGCATCACCAATACTACGGCTATCAGCACAGTCACCACCACAAGTTCAAGCACAACCAGTACCAGTACTGAGTACGTGAGCAGCAGCATGACAGGCACCAACACCAGCGCAACCAGCACATCATTGACAACATATACCACCACGGGCACCCACACCAGCATCACCAATACTACGACCATCAGCACTGTCACCGCCACAAGTCCAAAGCCCACTAGTACCAGTACTGCGTACGTGAGCAGTAGCATGACAGGCACCAACACCAGTGCAACCAGCACATCCTTGACAACATATACCACCACTGGCAGCGCCAGCAGCATCACCAATACTACAACCATCAGCACTGTCACCACCACAAGTCCAAGCCCCACTAGTACCAGCACTAAGTACGTGAGCAGTAGCATGACAGGCACGAACACCAGTGCAACCAGCACATCGTTGACAACATATACCACGACTAGCACCATTACCACAACCATAGTTCCAGTTTCACGGCTGGAGGGTTGTGTGGGTTTGTCAGTCTCGGATCCGGAGCTCTTTTCAGAATCAGGAGATGCAGTTTCTGTGATGAAGCAGGTTTTGGCACGGGCTGCTGGTGGAGTAAACGTGGACTATGTGCATGTCTCCATAACGGCTGGCAGCAGCTGTGAGTCTGGCCGGCGACTCTTTTGGGGCTACAGGCGGCTGCAAGAAAGTGTAAAGGTAGACTATGTCATCATTTTCCCTGCATCCACTGGGGAAGGAGAAGCACTTAATCAAGCTGAAGACGGCAAAGCTGCCCTGGAGCAAATTTCCTTGTCTGAAATTAATACCTTGATGACTGAGGAAATCAGTCTGGTGCCATCCCTGTCAGGACTGAGTGCTTTGATCACAACAAGCCCGACAGTTGTGATGACAGTCAGTGCAACCAGCACATCCTTCACAACCACCAGCGTTACCAATACTACGACCATGAGTACAACTGCAACCACATTCCAAACCACAGGGGCTGTCACGACCACAAGTGAAGACACCACTGAAGCCACTACGGCATATGTGAGCAGCAGCATGACAGCAACCAACACCAGTGCAACCAGCACATCCTTGACAGAATATGGCACCACTGGCACTGGCACCAGTTTCACCAATACTACGACCATCAGCACAGAAAGCACAACCAGTACCAGTACTGCGTACGTGAGCAGTAGCATGACAGGCACCAACACCAGTGCAACCAGCACTTCGTCGACAACATATACCACCACTGGCACCACCACGAGCATCACCAATACTACAACGATCAGCACTGTCACCAGCACAAGTCCAAGCCCCACTAGCAGCAGTACTGCGTACTTGAGCAGTAGCATGACAGGCACCAACACCAGTGCAACCAGCACATCATTGACAACATATACCACCACTGGCACCACCACGAGCATCACCAATACTACAACCATCAGCACAGTCACCACCACAAGTTCAAGCACAACCAGTACCAGTACTGCGTACCTGAGCAGTAGCATGACAGGCACCAACACCAGTGCAACCAGCACATCCTTGACAACATATGCCACCACTGGCAGCGCTAGCAGCATGACCAATACTACAACCAGCAGCACTGTCACCACCACAAGCCCAAGCCCCACTAGCAGCAGTACTGCGTACGTGAGCAGTAGCATGACAGGCACCAACACCAGTGCAACCAGCACATCCTTGACAACATATACCACCACTGGCAGCGCCAGCAGCATCACCAATACTACAACCATCAGCACTGTCACCACCACAAGTCCAAGCCCCACTAGTACCAGTACTGTGTACGTGAGCAGTAGCATGACAGGCACCAACACCAGTGCAACCAGCACATCCCTGACAACATATGCCACCACTGGCAGCGCCAGCAGCATCACCAATACTACAACCATCAGCACTGTCACCACCACAAGTCCAAGCCCCACTAGTACCAGTACTGCGTACGTGAGCAGTAGCATGACAGGCACCAACATCAGTGCAACCAGCACATCCTTGACAACATATGCCACCACTGGCAGCGCCAGCAGCATCACCAATACTACAACGATCAGCACTGTCACCACCACAAGTCCAAAGCCCACTAGTACCAGTACTGCGTACGTGAGCAGTAGCATGACAGGCACCAACACCAGTGCAACCAGCACATCCTTGACAACATATGCCACCACTGGCAGCGCCAGCAGCATCACCAATACTACAACCATGAGCACTGTCACCACCACAAGTCCAAGCCCCACTAGCAGCAGTACTGCGTACGTGAGTAGTAGCATGACAGGCACCAACACCAGTGCAACCAGCACATCCTTGACAACATATGCCACCACTGGCAGCGCCAGCAGCATCACCAATACTACAACGATCAGCACTGTCACCACCACAAGTCCAAGCCCCACTAGTACCAGTGCTGCGTACCTGAGCAGTAGCACGACAGGCACCAACACCAGTGCAACCAGCACATCCTTGACAACATATACCACCACTGGCAGCGACAGCAGCATCACCAATACTACAACCATCAGTACTGTCACCACCACAAGTCCAAGCCCCACTAGTACCAGTACTGCGTACCTGAGCAGTAGCATGACAGGCACCAACACCAGTGCAACCAGCACATCCTTGACAGCATATGCCACCACTGGCAGCGCCAGCAGCATCACCAATACTACCACTATCAGCACATCTGGAACCATTTTCCAAACCACTGAACATATGACTAGCACCAGCATCGGATACATGAGCAGTAGCATAACAGCAACTAATACCAGTAGGACCAGCACATCCTTGACAGAATATGCCACCACTGGCACTGGCACCAGTGCCACCAATACTACGACCATGAGCACAACTGCAACCACATTCCAAACCACAGGGGCTGTCATGACCACAAGTGAAGACACCACTGAAGCCACCACGGCATATGTGAGCAGCAGCATGACAGCAACCAACACCAGTGCAACCAGCACATCCTTGACAGCATATGGCACGACTGGCACTGGCACCAGCATCACCAATACCACGACCATGAGCACAACTGCAACCACATTCCAAACCACAGGGGCTGTCACGACCACAAGTGAAGACACCACTGAAGCCACCACGGGATATGTGAGCAGCAGCATGACAGCAACCAACACCAGTGCAACCAGCACATCTTTGACAGCATATGGAACCACTGGCACTAGCACCAGTGCCACCAATACTACGGCCATCAGCACAGTCACCACCACAGGTCCAAGCACAACCAGTAGCAGTATTTTGTATGTGAGCAGTAGCATGACAGCAACCAACACAAGTGCAACCAGCACATCATTGACAACATATACCACGACTAGCACCATTACCACAACCATAGTTCCAGTTTCACGGCTGGAGGGTTGTGTGGGTTTGTCAGTCTCGGATCCGGAGCTCTTTTCAGAATCAGCAGATGCAGTTTCTGTGATGAAGCAGGTTTTGGCACGGGCTGCTGGTGGAGTAAACGTGGACTATGTGTATGTCTCCATAACGGCTGGCAGCAGCTGTGAGTCTGGCCGGCGACTCTTTTGGGGCTACAGGCGGCTGCAAGAAAGTGTAAAGGTAGACTATGTCATCATTTTCCCTGCATCCATTGGGGAAGGAGAAGCACTTAATCAAGCTGAAGACGGCAAAGCTGCCCTGGAGCAAATTTCCTTGTCTGAAATTAATACCTTGATGACTGAGGAAATCAGTCTGGTGCCATCCCTGTCAGGACTGAGTGCTTTGATCACAACAAGCCCGACAGTTGTGATGACAGTCAGTGCAACCAGCACATCCTTCACAACATATACCACCACTGGCACTGGCACCAGCGTTACCAATACTACGACCATGAGTACAACTGCAACCACATTCCAAACCACAGGGGCTGTCACGACCACAAGTGAAGACACCACTGAAGCCACTACGGCATATGTGAGCAGCAGCATGACAGCAACCAACACCAGTGCAACCAGCACATCCTTGACAGAATATGGCACCACTGGCACTGGCACCAGCGTCACCAATAGTTCGACCATGAGCACAACCGCAACCACATTCCAAACCACAGGGGCTGTCACGACCACAAGTGAAGACACCACTCAATCCACTACGGCATATATGAGCAGCAGCATGACAGCAACCAACACCAGTGCAACCAGCACATCTTTGACAGCATATGGAACCACTGGCACTAGCACCAGCGCCACCAATACTACGACCATGAGCACAACTGCAACCACATTCCAAACCACAGGGGCTGTCACGACCACAAGTGAAGACACCACTGAAGCCACCACAGCATATGTGAGCAGCAGCATGATGGCAACCAATACCAGTGCAACGAGCACATCCTTGACAGCATATGGCACCACTGGCACTGGCACCAGCGCCACCAATACTACGACCATGAGCACAACTGCAACCACATTCCAAACCACAGGGGCTGTCATGACCACAAGTGAAGATACCACTGAAGCCACTACGGCATATGTGAGCAGCAGCATGACAGCAACCAACACCAGTGCAACCAGCACATCCTTGACAGCATATGGCACCACTGGCACTGGCACCCGCGCCACCAACACTACAACCATCAGCACAACCCCAACCACATTCCAAACCACAGGGGCTGTCACGACCACGAATGAAGACACCACTGAAGCCACCACAGCATTTGTGAGCAGCAGCATGACAGCAACCAACACCAGTGCAACCAGCACATCCTTGACAGCATATGGCACCACTGGCACTGGCACCAGCGCCACCAATACTACGACCATGAGCACAACTGCAACCACATTCCAAACCACAGGGGCTGTCATGACCACAAGTGAAGACACCACTGAAGCCACCACGGCATATGTGAGCAGCAGCATGATAGCAACCAACACCAGTGCAACCAGCACATCGTTGACAGCATATGGCACCACTGGCACGGGCACCAGCGCCACCAATACTACGACCATGAGCACAACCGCAACCACATTCCAAACCACAGGGGCTGTCATGACCACAATTGAAGACACCACTGAATCCACCACAGCATATGTGAGCAGCAGCATGACAGCAACCAACACCAGTGCAACCAGCACATCGTTGACAGCATATGGCACCACTGGCACTGGCACCAGCGTCACCAATACTACGACCATGAGTACAACTGCAACCACATTCCAAACCACAGGGGCTGTCACGACCACAATTGAAGACACCACTGAAGCCACTACGGCATATGTGAGCAGCAACACGACAGAAACCAACACCAGTGCAACCAGCACATCTTTGACAGCATATGGCACCACTGGCACTGGCACCAGCGCCACCAATACTACGACCATGAGCACAACTGCAACCACATTCCAAACCACAGGGGCTGTCACGACCACAATTGAAGGCACCACTGAAGCCACCACGGCATATGTGAGCAGCAGCATGACAGCAACCAACACCAGTGCAACCAGCACATCCTTGACAGCATATGGCACCACTGGCAGTGTCACCAGCATCACCAACACTACAACCATCAGCACAACCCCAACCACATTCCAAACCACAGGGGCTGTCACGACCACGAATGAAGACACCACTGAAGCCACCACAGCATTTGTGAGCAGCAGCATGACAGCAACTAACACCAGTGCAACCAGCACATCCTTGACAGCATATGGCACCACTGGCACTGGCACCAGCATCACCAATACTACGACCATGAGCACAACTGCAAGCACATTCCAAACCACAGGGCCTGTCACGACCACAAGTGAAGACACCACTGAAGCCACTACGGCATATGTGAGCAGCAGCATGACAGCAACCAACACCAGTGCAACCAGCACATCCTTGACAGCATATGTCACCACTGGCACTGGCACCAGCGCCACCAATACTACGACCATGATCACAACCGCAACCACATTCCAAACCACAGGGGCTGTCACGACCACGAATGAAGACACCACTGAAGCCACCACAGCATATGTAAGCAGCAGCATGACAGCAACTAACACCAGTGCAACCAGCACATCCTTGACAGCATATGGCACCACTGGCACTGGCACTGAGACTACCACCACAACCATAGTTTCTGTTGCACGGTTGGAGGGTTGTGTGGGTTTGTCAGTTTCGGATCCGGAGCTCTTTTCAGAAGATGCAGTTTCTGCGATGAAGCAGGTATTCGCACGGGCTGCTGGTGGAGTGAACGTGGACTATGTGCATGTCTTCATAACGGCTGGCAGCAGCTGTGAGTCTGGCCGGCGGCTCTTCTGGGGTCACAGGCGGCTGCAAGAAATTGTGAGGGTAGACTATGTCATCATTTTCCCTGCATCCATTGGGGAAGGAGAAGCACTTAATCAAGCTGAAAACGGCAAAGCTGCCCTGGAGCAAATTTCCTCGTCCGAAATCAATGCCTTGATGACTGAGGAAATCAGTCTGGTGCCATCCCTGTCAGGATTGAGTGCTTTGATCACAACAAGCCCAACAGTTGTGATGACAGTCAGTGCAACCAGCACATCCTTCACAACATATACCACCACTGGCACTGGCACAAGCGTCACCAATACTACCACCATCAGCACAACCAAAACCACATTCCAAACCACAGGGGCTGTCACAACCACAAGTCAAGACGCCGCCACTACGGCATATGTAAGCAGCAGCATGACTGCAACGAATACCAGTGCAACCAGCACGTCCCTCACATCATACAGCACCACTGACACCGCCACCAGCATCACCAACACTGCGACATTTAGCACTGCAACTGCAACAGCAACCACACTGACACTGCAAACCACTGAGAGTGTTGCAGCCACAAGTCAAAGCACGACTGGCACGAGTACTGCATACATGAGCAGCAGCATGACCGCAACGAATACCAGTGCAACCAGCACATCATTGACATTGTACGCCACCACTGACACTGCCACCAGCATTGCCAACACTACGACATTTGGTACTGCAACTGCAACTGCAACCACACTGCAAACCACGGAGAGTGTTGCAGCCACAAGTCAAAGCACCACTGGTACAAGTTCCGCATACATGAGCAGCAGCATGACTTCAACGAATACCAGTGCAACCAGCACATCATTGACATTGTACGCCACCACTGACACTGCCACCAGCATCACCAACACTGCGACATTTAGCACTGCAACTGCAACAGCAACCACACTGCAAACCACGGAGAGTGTTGCAGCCACAAGTCAAAGCACCACTGGTACAAGTTCCGCATACATGAGCAGCAGCATGACTTCAACGAATACCAGTGCAACCAGCACATCATTGACATTGTACGCCACCACTGACACTGCCACCAGCATCACCAACACTACGACATTTGGATCTGCAACTGCAACAGCGACCACACTGCAAACCACGGAGAGTGTTGCAGCCACAAGTCAAAGCACCACTGGCACGAGTACCGCATATGTGAGCAGCAGCATGACTTCAACGAATACCAGTGCAACCAGCACATCATTGACATTGTACGCCACCACTGACACTGCCACCAGCATCACCAACACTGCGACATTTAGCACTGCAACTGCAACAGCAACCACACTGCAAACCACGGAGAGTGTTGCAGCCACAAGTCAAAGCACGACTGGCACTAGTTCCGCATACATGAGCAGCAGCATGACTTCAACGAATACCAGTGCAACCAGCACATCATTGACATTGTACGCCACCACTGACACTGCCACCAGCATCACCAACACTGCGACATTTAGCACTGCAACTGCAACAGCAACCACACTGCAAACCACGGAGAGTGTTGCAGCCACAAGTCAAAGCACCACTGGTACAAGTTCCGCATACATGAGCAGCAGCATGACTGCAACAAATACCAGTGCAACCAGCACATCATTGACATTGTACGCCACCACTGACACTGCCACCAGCATCACCAACACTGCGACATTTAGCACTGCAACTGCAACAGCAACCACACTGCAAACCACGGAGAGTGTTGCAGCCACAAGTCAAAGCACGACTGGCACGAGTACTGCATACATGAGCAGCAGCATGACTTCAACAAATACCAGTGCAACCAGCACATCATTGACATTGTACGCCACCACTGACACTGCCACCAGCATCACCAACACTGCGACATTTAGCACTGCAACTGCAACAGCGACCACACTGCAAACCACGGAGAGTGTTGCAGCCACAAGTCAAAGCACCACTGGTACAAGTACCACATATGTGAGCAGCAGCATGACTTCAACGAATACCAGTGCAACCAGCACATCATTGACATTGTACGCCACCACTGACACTGCCACCAGCATCACCAACACTGCGACATTTAGCACTGCAACTGCAACAGCAACCACACTGCAAACCACGGAGAGTGTTGCAGCCACAAGTCAAAGCACCACTGGTACAAGTACCGCATACATGAGCAGCAGCATGACTTCAACGAATACCAGCGCAACCAGCACATCATTGACATTATATGCCACCACTGACACTGCCACCAGCATCACCAACACTGCGACATTTAGCACTGCAACTGCAACAGCAACCACACTGCAAACCACAGAAAGTGTTGCAGCCACAAGTCAAAGCACCACTGGTACAAGTACCGCATACATGAGCAGCAGCCTGACCGCAACGAATACCAGTGCAACCAGCACATTATTGACAGAATATGGCACCACTGGCACTGGCACTGAGACTACCACCACAACCATAGTTTCTGTTGCACGGTTGGAGGGTTGTGTGGGTTTGTCAGTTTCGGATCCGGAGCTCTTTTCAGAAGATGCAGTTTCTGCGATGAAGCAGGTTTTCGCACGGGCTGCTGGTGGAGTGAACGTGGACTATGTGCATGTCTTCATAACGGCTGGCAGCAGCTGTGAGTCTGGCCGGCGGCTCTTCTGGGCTCACAGGCGGCTGCAAGAAATTGTGAGGGTAGACTATGTCATCATTTTCCCTGCATCCATTGGGGAAGGAGAAGCACTTAATCAAGCTGAAAACGGCAAAGCTGCCCTGGAGCAAATTTCCTCGTCCGAAATCAATGCCTTGATGACTGAGGAAATCAGTCTGGTGCCATCCCTGTCAGGATTGAGTGCTTTGATCACAACAAGCCCAACAGTTGTGATGACAGTCAGTACCAGCACATCCACAACATTGTTTGCCACCTCTGCCACTGCAACCAGCATGACTGCCACCGAGACAATAACCAGTGCCAGCGCAACAACATCCCAGACCACCAACACTGTGACCGCCACAAGTCAAAGCACCACTGGCACAAGTACCACCTACTCTGGCAGCAGCATGACAGGAACTGCTACAAGCGCAACCAGCACTTCCAGCAGTATCACTGCAAGCACATCATTGACGACGCATACTGCAACTGGCACTGCAACCAGCATCAGCGCCACCGAGACAATAACCAGTGCCAGCGCAACAACATCCCAGACCACCAACACTGTGACCGCCACAAGTCAAAGCACCACTGGCACAAGTACCACCTACTCTGGCAGCAGCATGACAGAAACTGTTACAAGCGCAACCAGCACTTCCAGCAGTATCACTGCAAGCACATCATTGACGACGCATACTGTGACTGGCACTGCAACCAGCATCAGCGCCACCGAGACAATAACCAGTGCCAGCGCAACAACATCCCAGACCACCAACACTGTGACCGCCACAAGTCAAAGCACCACTGGCACAAGTACCACCTACTCTGGCAGCAGCATGACAGAAACTGCTACAAGCGCAACCAGCACTTCCAGCAGTATCACTGCAAGCACATCATTGACGACGCATACTGCAACTGGCACTGCAACCAGCATCAGCGCCACCGAGACAACGACCAGTGCCAGCGCAACAACATCCCAGACCACCAACACTGTGACCGCCACAAGTCAAAGCACACTGGCACAAGTACCACCTACTCTGGCAGCAGCATGACAGAAACTGCTACAAGCGCAACCAGCACTTCCAGCAGTATCACTGCAAGCACATCATTGACGACGCATACTGCAACTGGCACTGCCACCAGCATCAGCGCCACCGAGACAATGACCAGTGCCAGCGCAACAACATCCCAGACCACCAACACTGTGACAGCCACAAGTCAAAGCACCACTGGCACAAGTACACCTACTCTGGCAGCAGCATGACAGAAACTGCTACAAGCGCAACCAGCACTTCCAGGAGTATCACTGCAAGCACATCATTGACGACGCATACTGCAACTGGCACTGCAACCAGCATCAGCGCCACCGAGACAACGACCAGTGCCAGCGCAACAACATCCCAGACCACCAACACTGTGACCGCCACAAGTCAAAGCACCACTGGCACAAGTACCACCTACTCTGGCAGCAGCATGACAGAAACTGCTACAAGCGCAACCAGCACTTCCAGCAGTATCACTGCAAGCACATCATTGACGACGCATACTGTGACTGGCACTGCAACCAGCATCAGCGCCACCGAGACAATAACCAGTGCCAGCGCAACAACATCCCAGACCACCAACACTGTGACCGCCACAAGTCAAAGCACCACTGGCACAAGTACCACCTACTCTGGCAGCAGCATGACAGAAACTGCTACAAGCGCAACCAGCACTTCCAGCAGTATCACTGCAAGCACATCATTGACGACGCATACTGCAACTGGCACTGCCACCAGCATCAGCGCCACCGAGACAATGACCAGTGCCAGCGCAACAACATCCCAGACCACCAACACTGTGACAGCCACAAGTCAAAGCACCACTGGCACAAGTACCACCTACTCTGGCAGCAGCATGACAGAAACTGCTACAAGCGCAACCAGCACTTCCAGGAGTATCACTGCAAGCACATCATTGACGACGCATACTGCAACTGGCACTGCAACCAGCATCAGCGCCACCGAGACAACGACCAGTGCCAGCGCAACAACATCCCAGACCACCAACACTGTGACCGCCACAAGTCAAAGCACCACTGGCACAAGTACCACCTACTCTGGCAGCAGCATGACAGAAACTGCTACAAGCGCAACCAGCACTTCCAGCAGTATCACTGCAAGCACATCATTGACGACGCATACTGTGACTGGCACTGCAACCAGCATCAGCGCCACCGAGACAATAACCAGTGCCAGCGCAACAACATCCCAGACCACCAACACTGTGACCGCCACAAGTCAAAGCACCACTGGCACAAGTACCACCTACTCTGGCAGCAGCATGACAGAAACTGCTACAAGCGCAACCAGCACTTCCAGCAGTACCACTGCAAGCACATCATTGACGACGCATACTGCAACTGGCACTGCCACCAGCATCAGCGCCACCGAGACAATGACCAGTGCCAGCGCAACAACATCCCAGACCACCAACACTGTGACCGCCACAAGTCAAAGCACCACTGGCACAAGTACCACCTACTCTGGCAGCAGCATGACAGAAACTGCTACAAGCGCAACCAGCACTTCCAGCAGTATCACTGCAAGCACATCATTGACGACGCATACTGTGACTGGCACTGCAACCAGCATCAGCGCCACCGAGACAATAACCAGTGCCAGCGCAACAACATCCCAGACCACCAACACAGTGACCACCACAAGCCATAGCGCTACCAGCACCACATATACAGGCAGCAGCATCACAGCTACCAGTACAAGTGCAAGCAGGACTTATAGCAGCACCACTACAGGCACTGACACCAGCACAACTACCAAATCCGAAACCACTCAGACTTTGACTAGCACAAGTCATAGCTCAACTGATACCAGTACCACATACACTGGCAGCAGCATTACAAGCAGCAGTACTTTTGTAAGTGGCACTTCGACCAGCACCACAAAAAGCACATCTTTTACAACGCATACTACGACGAACACGGTCACGAGCATCACCATGAGTGAGACCATCAGTACTACAACTGCAACGACCTCTGAAACCACGAAGACTGCCACTAGTACAAGCAATAGCATCACATTGAGCAGCACCAGTCATAGTAGCACAATCAGCGCATCGACGACTGTGATCACGATGACTAACACAGCGACAACCACCAGCAGTAGCATGACCACGAGCATGACGAGTGCGACCACTTCTCAAACCACCTTCACGGACACCACTACACTTAGTAGCATCACGGGCACCAGCACCATGACAGGGACGACGACCAGCAGCAGTGCCACAGTTACAAGTAGCAGCACGGGAACCAGCAGCAGTTCCACTCAGACAACTCACACTCTGACCAGCACCAGCATGACAAGCAGCGTTACTGGAACTGACAGCACTACCACGAGCACTACAGCGAGCACATCCGTCACCATCACGGCTACTACCCTGACGAGCACAAGCGAAACAGTGACCAGCACCACGACCATGACAACAACCAGTACAACGAGAAGCGAAACCACTCACACCAACACCGGCACCAGCTCCAGTATCACCACGACCAGTAGCAGTGTCAGCAGCACTGGCAGTAGCACTACTGCAAGCAGCACCATCACCAGCAATACCAGGACCAGCACCAGCTGGACCCAAACCAGCTCCATCACCAGCAGCAGCACTGTTAGCAGCTCCACTACCGGAACCATCACAGAGACCACTCACACGATGACCACCACCAGCTACACGATGTCGAGCAGTAGTACCATCAGCGTCACTGCCACTACCAAGACCTTCACCAGCACCACCAGCACAACTGCAAGCCAAACCGTGACGGGGACATCGGTCACTGGCAGCTTGGATATTGATATGTATGGTTGTGTCCGGTTGTGTGATGGATCATGAGTGTTTATGTGCTTGTCATTTACTCCAACTTCAAGCTTGGATTGAGCGGCTTCGTGATTTTGCATGTCTAGGCATGGCCATGATTATATACAGTCACGGAGTACTGCTGTAGCACATAGCAGAGCCCCACGACAGGATGAGCTGAAGCGTTTCAGCCTTGACGGGTTTCCAACCCGAGTCCACCAAACTTGACTCAGCTTCGAAAAACCGAAGATGTCGAACTTTTTGTGGGTTTGTCTGAAAACTGGCTCCAAATCCAATGATTCATCATCATTTTTCCATATTTTTCCTCGTCAGGGTATCCAGTACACCCCATTCTAAGACACCATCCATCACCGTCCAGGCACAACTACGCGATTGCCCGGCAGTTGTCCTCAACCATCGATCTATGGGGTTGATACTTCCATGTGTGTCGGGAAATTCCCCGGAGAGACCTGCGAAGCTGCTTGGACCGATCAGCCATGTCTTGGTGGAAAACACGGCGCTGATGGGGTTTTGAGACGTGTCATGAGACGTGTCATCGTTGTGTGTCCCAGGGTCTTACAATTTTCACCCATCTGATGGTGAAAGACGGTGAAGAGCTTTCAGTCTGCAAAAAAAAACATGCACCGCTTTTCTGGTAGACTGGACAGCGACTTCATATTGTCTTGTGTTTTCATGAGCATTTGATGTATCCTGAACTGTGAAAGTAGTTTGTTGATAAGTATTTCGAGAATACAGTGCCCTCCAGTCATGGTTTATGATGATTGATCGTTGCAGACGATCACAAATTGGGGGCCATCTCCCATTTTTGGACACACTCAATGGTCATATTGTTGGCAGCTGAATCTATCCCTGGTGTCGATGTGTTTTTTGTCCACACTGAATATGGTTTTGTTGCTGGTAAACGTCATGTATAGTTGGTTCAATACTTATGTCCAGTTATATCAATATCTGTCAATATCCATGAAATTCCCAGCATATCTCCACATTAAATTTCCATTTGAACTTGTTTTCATGTCCTCCATGTTTAGGCAAGACCATGAGGCTACCCTCTGGTAATCTAACATCGCTAACCGTTACGCCATCGCCCAGGTGTCTTGTGCCAGCGGCTTCCTGGGCGGGACGAGCATTTACACCTGCACTTCACAGGAGATGGGCGTCTTGTGACAGATATCTGGCAGGGATTGGTTTCAACATAAGACTATCAGTGACTATCATGTTTTAATATGTTTTAATATGTTTTATATTAATCACAATATATCATAATATATCATTGGTGTCATATCCATGACATACACATTGGAATATTTCATCATATTAGTCTAAGTAAAAAGAGTTACGCCCATACTTGCAGTGCATGCTTAATTTGTCCATCTTTTCTGTGACACTGTGATGCTGGGGTTTGTTCAAAGATTCAGCCTAATTCACCCTGGATTCAGATGCCAGGAGGTCTTCAGTGGTACACCTCCAAGTTGCGTACAGACAACGACTGTGACGACCATGACTAGCACCATGACCGAGCTGGTCGCATGTTCAGGGGGTTTACCTACAGACTGGGGAGTCAACGTCAACGATTGTTTTGGCAAAGTGAATGGCCAGACCTGTACTGTGTCTTGCATGGCTACTTTTCAAGGTGAGGCTTTTGCGAACAGTCCGGCGTCGGTTGTGGTTGCTGTTCCTTCTCACAGCGTAAAGTGGTGTTGGGCATCCTTTCTTCCTTGCAAAGTTCAGGTGTTGTACACACACATATATATACAATATCTATCTATATCTATATATATATGTATATTTCTATATCTATTTCCATTTCTTTCTATATATACAATATATATATATACATAGATATATATATATATGCTTTTACGGCTTTTACTGTATATGTATATACTATACATATATATGATATATATATATTTATATTATATATATGTAGATGTACATATATATATATATGTATATATCAGACTCTTTGAGCATGATGAAACAATTGTTAGATACATCACATTCGTAGTGCTCTTTCATGTGATCTATCCGCAGCGAGCGACCTTTTGGGCGTAGCCACCAGTTCCATGGGGATGTTGGGATGCCCTACATCCTATGACCCGGGGGATTAGTTTGGATCGATTTCAGGAACCTCCTGCTAGTTCTAGGTCGTTTTCTTAAAATATCATCTAATTAAATCTAATTATGGTGCCTCGTTCTACTTTGAGCTACTATCTGTTTATAGTTTACTGCATGTACTACACAGTTTGTTTTCGATACAGAGTGTGCACATGTACTGTATTATTCGACAGTGATAGATGTAGAGGAGTGGAAGGCAAGCGCTGCAGTATACATCCCACATATCTGAAGGCAACAGAACGTGGCACTTTAATGACACGTCATTAAATGTAGTGTTGTGGTATGCAATGCAACTCATCGCAATATAAGCACGTAGTGAAGTGCAAATGTAATGGAATTTTCATGGAGTTTGCGTCTTCACAGCAACCACTCAGGTTTCAGAATCGTTCTTTCCTGATAGAACTCCTTCATTTTCTGATGCACGACAACATAAGCGTGGTTTGTAGAGTTCTGACAATGGGGTATACCGCCAATGTATGGGCCTTTTAATGGGGAAAATGATCAACCAGTGGAGTTTTTGCTACCATATTTTCAGTCAAAGCCAATGTTGATTCAGATGAACCACACTGCTCATGCCCCCCTGATAGGCGACTCAGCCGAGTACTATTGCAACCCATCTACAGGAGAATTTGAGGGCCCAGCAGTGACCTGTACGAAGATCTCGTGCAACGTTGACCAGCTCCCGAGTGGTTTTGACTCCTCTGGATGTTCAAACCTTGTGGCTGGAGACTTTTGCTTGGTGTCGTGCCAGCAGGGTTTCATTCCGGCAGAAGAGAAGTACACTTGTGGAGTGGATGGGAACTTCTCGGGAACACCGCCCCAGTGTGAACGTGTGATTTGTCCAGCAGATACATTGCCAGTGGCTCCCGGAGTCAATGTGAGTGGCTGTATTGGGACAGTCAGTGGCGCTTCATGCGAGGTTGCCTGTGAATTGGGATATCAAGGCAGTGCTTCAATGTATTCGTGTGGCCTAGATGGAGCTTTTACAGGGACAGCTCCAGTCTGTGAAAGGAAAACATGCGCCCTTCCTGACAGCTTCAGTACTTACAGCCACACCTGCGATGGCATTCAGCATGGAGCTGGCTGCACCATTTCCTGCGCTGCCGGATACTCTGGCTCGTCAACGGAGCAGGTGTGCAGCGATGGAAGTCTCTTGGGTGATTTGCCCAGCTGCACACCAGACAGTTGCTCCTTTGCTGGGATGAACATCCCAACGGCCATTGATGTTTCTCCGTGTGTGGGTGCTGTGAGTGGGCAGACTTGCGACGTGCAGTGTCAGAGGCGGGAAAGGAATGCCCTAAAGTCAGGAACCCCGTGGTCTTCCATTAAAAAAGATGAAGACACATCTCTGGTCCCCTTTTTGTTTTGGTCAGATCATGATCCGTGTCATGTTTCATTTACAGTAATGTAGTAATGCCTTTGATGCTGGCCAAGCAATCGCCATGTACAGCAAAGGATCTGAATTGCACACACTTTCGGGCAACATGCTTCAGCCAAAAGGTTTGAGCACATCCAGCGATATCCCAATGTAGCGATCCCCAAGAAAGGAAGATAAGTCCATCACCAAAAAAGATAGAAACCTGGTTCCCATACCAAGAATGAGAAATTCCAGCCCTTCGCGCTTTTTTTTAAAGCCTTGACCTGTGTCAGGGGTTACCTTGCAGTGGGATCTCTGACAGTGCAATGCCTGAGTTCTGGCAGCTTCACTGCAATCTCTGCATCCTGCGAGCCACAGCCCTGTGGAAATCTCACTGACCTCCAGCCCTTTGCGACCAGTGACATTGGACAGTCCTGCGATGGGGTCGTGGCGGGACAGGTGGGGAGAGGGGACCAAACGAAAAGAATTGGTACAGGGGTGTTGTGGTACAAGACATTGCAGATGTACACTCGTTACTTGTAGATATTTTATAGTCGATTCCGATTACCATTTGTACTATAGTATAGACATGTATAGACTATACATATTTGCACAAGATATACACTACACGCACCTCAGATTCAACACCCCAATTTAGCAGTGAATGCTGCATCCCAAGTCACCTGGAGGTGTGTACTGCATTTTGCCAAGCCGGATACACCATCTCTGGCAATGCCACTGTCTTGATTTGCGGAGAAGGGCCTGACAGCAGCAATGGCTACACTGAGTTTATGCCTGGAACAGAGGATCCGGGGTTGTACCATGTGAGGGGTTTGTCTTTAATGTCTTTTAAAGCATTGCTGCCGAAATCGTTTCCCGGTTTTTTATTGGCCATAAGTCGAGACACACTGAATTTCAGGGCAAAACCATGTACTGTAGATCCAGGCAAAGAGATACTTTCTCATTTAAAGTAGGCCCTGTTCGGCTTCTGGCTGGATTGTCAGGACATGCTGTTCCTTTTCCATGTGCAAAACATGTCTTGGCAAGTAGGAAGCACGGAATCACGATCAAGTTCTGCAAATGAAGGTTTGAAACTTGCCCGATTTTGCCACCTTGACTGATTGCCATTCTTGTGGAATGGGTGCTACTGACCGTGATGCAGTAAAGCCCAACAATAAGCCTCCACCTATTCTGGTAAAATTGAGGATGGTTTATCATCTAAAGGTTGGAGACCACATTGCTTGCCACATATGTATATACGTGGTATATATCAGGTTCTTAGCCCATTGTGTGGATGCCACTTAGTGGACACCATTGCAGGTACCTTAATGATCCTGATGGATCCAAATCGCAGCGTAGGACTCCTTGCCTGCAGAGCAGTCGACCGGCCCAGACTGTGCTATCAACACCTGCACAGAAGGTGTGCCTGACAACCCGATGCTCAGCCACAACTGCAGCAATGTAGCAACAGGCCCAGGGGCCCAGAGTTTGTCAGCTGGTGGTTGCAATGGACCAACAGCGATACCTTTTATGTTTGGAGGAAGATCCACAAAAAAAGTTGCGCAATTTTAAGGTTCATGGGGATGATTTTCCAAAGGACATCTTAACCGGGAACCATGTGATTTTGCCATTCTTTTCCCATGAAACATACAAATAAGGGGGTTTCGTGTGACATTTCGAAAAAACCAGTCCACTGAGTGGTTAATTCCACTGATCCATGGAATACTCGAATGATTGCTTAAATCCTATGGTTTTCCAAGAACGTCAATCCAATCCTATCACTTGAGTTGAGCCTTTTTTTCATCGGTTGCGTTTCCAGGGCAGCGAGGCTTGGTGGATGCAGTGGTGCCTTACCAGCTGACTGGAGGTGCTGTTGAGCTCACCTGTGAAGCAAGTGGACACCTTACAGGCCGGCAGTACAGCAATGGGATCCACCATCCCCAAATTCTACAATTATTATGGGTGTTTATTGAACCTCTAGATATGGCTGGTTTATGACATTGCTTTCATTTAACCCCAAAATCTTGGGATGTGACCAAGAAACACAGATTCAATATCAAAATACTCCAACAAACATATTAGGATCTTCAACAGAATACGATGTTTTGGATTGTTTTGGTTCAACTGAGTCAGATTTCCATGACATCTGGCGCCAGGGACCATTCCAGCTATCATCCCGGCAGTTTGTCCATCTATATCCTTTGGTACTGGGGCAGGCAGCACATGTGATCAGATTGAGTATGGCGGTGACTGTTGGGCGTATTGTCAGAGTGGCTACGAGGGCACGGCGCGTCAATATCGCTGCGAGTTGGTTGATGGATCTGTTCAGCTGCAGAGCGTCGTGGCCGACATCAGCTGTGCAACCGTCACTCAGACGGTCACCACCACTGCAGCAAGGCGTTTGGCGTCGCTGGATCCATGTCCAGCCACTTCAGTGACACAGGTTGGACTAGGGGATCAACAATATCTGCATGATTGCACTGACAAACTGCATGATGAGGCTTGCATTGCACACTGTGGCTTTGGATATGACATGCAAGAGTCCGCCCCTGTGGTCTTTACGTGCCAGAACAGTGCCCTGGTGGGATCAGGTTTGCCCACATGCGTGGGGAGGACATGCAACTATGCCTTGCCAACTGGACTTGGGGTTTCCCACGATTGTACTTCAAAAACAACGGGGCAAACCTGCGAAGCTTCCTGTGGTCAAGCCGGATACACCTACGCATCAAACAGCAACCAGCAGCAGTTCACGTGTTTGGGCTCTGGTATTTTTGAAGGTGTAGCCCCAACCTGCGAACCCATTTCATGTACGGATTTGGATGTGGGCAGCAGGTTTTCCCACAATTGCAGAGGAAAGCGTTTCGGAGAAACCTGCGGAATCAGCTGCGCTACTGGTTATCACAAATCGGGTTGGGGATCACAGCTGACATGCTCATCAGATGGGACCTTCACAGGATCACTGCCCAGTTGTGTTGGGAATCCTTGCGCCAATTCTCTTGTTTCCGACTGGAGCTTGGACTCAGATCAGTGCAATGGGCTTGCCACTGGACAAACCTGCACGGTCAGTTGCAAGGCTGGCTTCACTCCGAATTCCGCGACCATGGTATGTGATGCCACAGGCTTTCTGACTGGAACCGTACCCGCATGCACACCATTGACTTGCGAAACAAGCTCGGAGCTTTCGGATGCATCTATTAGGCATACCTGCAATCAGGTCAGTTTCAACCGAAGCTGTGCTGTAACATGCGCAGCAGGTTACAAGCTCACATCAGGCACAGCGCAAGAGTGGAGCTGCAATTGGAACCCAACTTCTTCCTCTCTGTCCCTTTCCGGGTCACTCCCTGCTTGTGAAGCAGACCTGTGTACGTCTGGCTTGCCCACAGATAGTGAGCGAACGATTGCAAATTGTTCAAGTCTGAGAACGGGTGAGACGTGCCAGCAGCGGTGTGCATCAGGATATGTTGGTACAGATGCAGCTTTCACCTGTGAAAGTGATGGTGCTGCCCGGACAGCATCCTCGTCTGCACAGTGTCAACCTGTGACCTGCAATTTGACTGTCTCAGACAGCAGCATTGGTCACGTATGCACTGACGTCGCCTTCGGATACAGCTGCTCTGCTTTTTGCAACAAAGGCTATACCTCCACGAATGGCGTCCAAACTCTGACCTGTGCCGGTCCCGAATCGGGAGGATCTGCGGTTGGCAATGCAGACAATGCCAGCATTACGCTCAGAGGGTCCTTACCTGTGTGTTTGGGTCAAGTGTGCTTCTTCAACTTTCCCACGGGATCTCAATTCACTCACAATTGTGATGGGATCAGAACAGGTGAATCATGCACAAGCTCCTGCGTGGATGGTTGGGACGGCCAGTCCACGACCCTCACTTGTGGAGTTGAAGGTGGTCTGCAGGGCAGCTTCCCCGTTTGCACACTCCAAACAGTGACGAAGACAGCCACACAGACAAGCACGACCCGAACCAGTACAGACTTTGAGCTGCAAATCAATGTGGCTGGCACCCTCCGTTTGAATGTGAATAATTCTAATGCCTTCATTCAGGATGTCGATGCGCAGCGCGTGGTTGGGGAAGTGATCGCTGGGCTCATTGGGGTAAGCGTGGAGCAGCTTCAGTTGTCCCTCACTGCTGTTGTGTCGTCCGGGCGGAGGCTTGCTTTTGGAGGAGTGCAGGCGGCCTACTCGACATGGTTTGTGGCTGACACACAGGAAATGGCAGATGCCTTGGGCAACAACATCACTGCCCAGCTGGATGCAGCAGGTGTGCCACTTCTGCAGCAACTGCTTGTGGATGCCATGACCCAGATTTCCAGCGACAAGGTTAGGAACAGACGAGTCCATTGGTAAAGCTGTAGGTTTCTGTTCTGTGTTACTTTTTCGCCACAAAGAGACATGGATTCACCAGCTAAAGTTTAGATAGGCCAAAAGATGAGTTTCTTGCAGGGATCTATGTAAGGTTAGATAAGGTTAGCCAAAATTTGAATCGACTTCTCGGCATGTAGCAGGGACCCTTGCCCTGCCCAGGTGGCATTCTATTCTGTGGAGGTTTTGGCACACAATGCTGATATCATCGTCGGCACGCGCAAGCAAGAAACGGTTGCGAAATCGGTCGCAGTTCTTTGCAATCCATCAACATTTCCTGTCATCACAGGCAGGAACGTTTTCACAAGATTTCAGTTTAGCAAGCTGAAAGGAACACAAGTAAGACAGTCTGAAATGCGTTCCGTCGTGGTGCCATCACGTAGTCCTTCCAAGCCAATACGTTCCCTCAAACGCAAACAAATCAAAATTCAGAACCCCACAATTTTTTATCAAAGGAAGTTTAGAAGTCTATACTTCCGAGTTACGGATAGCAATGGATGTCACAGCAAATGGATGTCACAGCAATGGATGTCTACTTGTAGTTCAAAAAAAATCATGCAAAACCTCATTTTCTCTTGAATTTCATTGTCCAAGAATAAGCCCATTCCCGGCTTGCCACCAAAAGCCACCCCCTTGGCCATCGCCAGGTGCAGGGCCCTTCGACTGTCAGGAACCACAAATTTTGGGTCAAAGCTGCAGAGCTCCTTGCGACTCCGGTGCTGAGTTTGCGGTGATCACCTGTGAAGAGCAGGGCTGGACGCTGCAAGATGAGTGTCCCACGGAGTCATACCTCTTGGATGCTGGGATTTATTTGGGATTATAAAGGTCTTGTCTGGCTTTTTTAGGCACAGTAAAGGTTCTTTTTCCCCGGCTAAAATGTTGGACAAAGTTTGACAAAACCTCCACTCTAACTAGATTTCTGCTTCTTTCCTCTGCCGGGTGAACATCCACTGCTTCCAGAAGGATCCAGAAGGTAACTTACTTTTTGGTTCCCTTGGAACGGTTTGCTTTCTTGAACCTGGATATTTTTGAAAGAGCTGAGGTCATCATATTTGCATCTGCTGCTGCTCTTTGCTGTTTGATCATTACCTGCGTGGTTCTTTGCGCATGTCGTGGGGGCGGTAAGACAGCACCAGAAGTTATAGATGAGCCACCTCCACTACCGCAGCCTTTGCCGGGAGCTTGGTTTTCTCTGGCGACATGTCAGGAGATTTGTCAGCTGTCCTCACCAACCTTGAAGGGTCTGAAATTTGAGTCCCCTTCCACTCTGGTTCTTTAACTCCGAATGAACTCTCCTCATACACAGACACACAGACGTAGCACTTCAAGGCCATCCATTCGCGACGTTCCTCAGCCCGAGAACTATGATACCGGCTACTACAGTTGGGCAGAGAGATGGGAGCAAAGCAGACAAAACCAAGGCGGGCTGCGCAACGTTTGCCGTGCAACATCAGGTGTTCGTATCTGGTCACCCGTCACCCTGCTGAGGTACGGATATTCCATTGGTGGCTCCAGCTTCTCTGACAAACACTGTACCTGACAGTGAGATGGACAGGCACACAGTTCCTGCATCATGATTCAAGTAGGCTTTGATGCTGCTGTGTCGATGGGGATAGAGGTTGGAGGTTCCCGGAAAGGTTCCACGTTGGATCTGGCTCTGCTTCAGACCTGACATCAATTCAGTCTCTTGCACAGTCTCGAAATCAAGTTAGCAGACCTTTAGCTCAATTGAAGCTCAATAAACATTAGTTTACATTAGTTGATTCATGGACCTAAACATTATTAGTTTTCATAAACATGAATAAACCTCATGTCGGACATCGCCAGATCATCGCAGGTCGCCTCAGGCCATCCCAATGCCACCTGAACGGCCACCACCGGTGGAACAACAGAAGTCGTCGCCGTTGATTCCTCCACCGTTGCCGTCGCTGGCAAGGCCCACAACGGCGATGGTTGTGCCACATAATATGAGGGTTATGATGGTTGAATGAACATGAAGAATCTGGTGCAAAAAATCGCTACCCCATATACCCCATTTTTTTTACGATAATGATCGGTAATGGTTGTCAAATTTTCTAGACATCATGCTGCATGCTGGTTGCAATTGCTCATAGCTGTGAGATTCCAATGGTATTGGGCTGTGAGGCGGGATGGCACTTCTCCCAAAGAAGGTGAAGTGCAACTGGATGTGAAAGCTGATAGTGAGCCTGAGCAACTTCTCCGCACTTTCAAGCTCAAATTCACAGGCGATGCGTGGTCATTTTGTCTTCTCCTATAAACATCAATTGTAAACCAATCC